AGGCCTAGGGCACAGCTATTTTGTAGTAGGCCTAGGTCCCAGCTAGTGTGTAGTAGGCCTAGGGCACAGCTATTTTGTAGTAGGCCTAGGTCCCAGCTAGTGTGTAGTAGGCCTAGGGCACAGCTATTTTGTAGTAGGCCTAGGTCCCAGCTAGTGTGTAGTAGGCCTAGGGCACAGCTATTTTGTAGTAGGCCTAGGTCCCAGCTAGTGTGTAGTAGGCCTAGGTCCCAGCTAGTGTGTAGTAGGCCTAGGGCACAGCTATTTTGTAGTAGGCCTAGGGCCCAGCTAGTGTGTAGTAGGCCTGGGGCACAGCTATTTTGTAGTAGGCCTAGGTCCCAGCTAGTGTGTAGTAGGCCTAGGGCACAGCTATTTTGTAGTAGGCCTAGGTCCCAGCTAGTGTGTAGTACGCCTACCCATTCGAAAGAACATATCAAAATAAAAGGGATGCTGATTGCATCTTAGAGTGTTCTTTATTAGATATTTCACAGTATCAGTTTATAGCTTAAATATTGTAAACTAATGACGACAAATTTGATTTCCAGTTTCTATCAAGGAACAATTCATTTGATTCATAGAAACTGAATAATCTACAAGGGCAAGACGTATGGTGTAAATTATACGTCAAGGAGTTTCAGATTCAGAGATTTGTCTAGATTCTAGATGATATGAGAGTTTCCAAATGGGTATGTAGCAATGCGAAATTAGCTAGCACTCGAAATGACAGTATCGAGTGCTGATAGAAGTTTTTTGGTTCTCCACAAAGGACGTCCGCACAAAATATTATTTTTTGCCACCCCACCCCTTTGTCCGCACATGGCTTAGGAGTCGCTAATTTTAAAATTCTAAACTTCATTTAATAGATCCATCCATCGATTGTGTACGTGTTATTGATTTTCGGAGATTATGCGTATTAGTGACTATTGTGTTACACAATGTGTATGGCAGGGGGTAGTGCAGAAAGTATGTACATTTTATAATTATCATGAAATATAAATTCTCTGTAATATTTCTACATTTCCAATAAAGCCAACTGTCACATTAAAATATGTGGAATTCCATTATATTTATTTTTAAAAGTCTTAAAAGAAATCACCGCAATAATTGTGTATTGATCGTCATGCTGCTTCTTTGTGTGACGTAATTATTTCGATGGGCTAAACCAAACAGCTGCGCTGGTTAAAAAAGGTGCTTCCAAATAATAATTTTTTAAAGCTCAAGCACAACCTGATCAATTAAAATGTTTTAATTAATGGGGAGAAAAAAATCGGTCTTGATGCTACTTTACAACAAAATTGATCTTCCATATTTTACTGCCATTCAAACCTTACGATTCACAATTGTTGGATAGAACTCTCACCAAAAATAAATGAAATATTATATGTCTGTATAAAAATAATGGAAACACACAAAGTTGGTTAACTTAGGGAAGGGATCGGGAACCTTTTTGTCTGAGAGAGCCATGGACACCATAAATTTTGAAAAGTATTTCTGTGAGAGCCATACATTATGTTTAAAACTAAAAATTCAAGTAAATGAGTGCATTTTGTGTAATTTCAACACTAAAAATGCAATAATTATGTCTCTGAATTCTTTTTAATAACATTTTTACGCTGTTGCTAATCAAAGGAGTCTAAAGAAATTTTTTTTTTATAATCGAACATTTGTCTGCGAGCCAGATGCAGCCATCAAAAGAGCCACATCTGGTTCACGAGCCATAGGTTCCCGACCCCTGACTTTGGGTGACCAAACGTCCCGTAAAAACGGCACTGTCCCGTTTTTTCAAGATCGTACCCGGTGTCCCGAAAAAGTCTCTCGGGGCGCCTAAATGTCCCGTTTCTAAAACCAAATACATTTTAAAATCACTAAAACTTCCTAATTTATAATTTAACTTCAAGTAATATTTGGCTAGCTGTGTAGCCAGTGCCAGTAGTGACGTGGGCTCGCGTGATGGCTGCACTGTTCCCCATCCACCACTCTGCCGACGTTGCGTAAACGACATTGTCCCTGCCATAGATCTTATATGTATTAATAAATAAGTATTCACTGCGAAATTATTATTTTCATTTATCATAAGCTTCAGAGTTTAAATTAAATTACAAAAGTGAAGGTAAATGTAAAAAGATTTATAGGTCTCAAAATAGTTAAAATGAGCATATTTAAATAAACAGTTTCCGGCGGAGGCCCAGGACCCCTCTTTAACTACCCCCCCCAAACCCTCCTTGGGTGTGTCCCATTTTTTCCAGTTCATGATTTGGTCACCCTAGGTTAAATTAAAAACTTTTAACATTATCCCTTACCCCTTTACATTACATATTAATGCATTTCTTATATCCCAGGGTTTTTTCATAGCTAGTCAAATATTTAAGCCCAATAATTTTTTTCCTTTGCCACTGTACCATACATGGGCGCCCGCAGAAAACTTTCCGGGGGGGGGGGATTTTTAGTAATGTTTTAATCTAGTTTTAATTTACTGTAGCGTATTTGTATGGTGAACGAACGGACAGTACATCAGCTTAGTTACTTTCTCTTTATTTTCTCTTTACTTTAATAAATTTTGTGTCTATTTTTGTCAATTTTTTTTTATCCAATCAATCCAGGGGGGGGGGCAAGTGGCCCCCCCTTGCCCCTACCTGCGGGCGCCCATGGTACCATAGACTATTATGTCCTTTTATAATCTACAAATTGTCTCCATGTGGGAGGGGGCACTACAGGTTCTTCTTCTTCTTCTATATCTTAAGGGCCCACGATCAATTTATTGATCATTTTGGCTCCTATGCATGTAGATGGGATTTGCAATGTTTCTGTTACTGGTGGTGATAAGGAAATTATGCACTAGGGGTTTGAAGGCTTGAGGCAATAGACACAAATGTGTCTAGTGTTGTCGCCTCAACTGTTCCTTTTGAAAGATGGTTCGTCAGGGACTAACAGAACCCGTCCTTACTCGTCGAGGATATGACCGATCTTGCTGGTATGAGCCTGAATTGCCTGTCATGGCCTCGTCGCTGTCTATGGGGGAGAGGGACGAGTTTCTGTTTAATACCGGAACAGTGGACCAGCCCATTATTTATCTTAGCAAGCACTGTAATACTTTGAATTGACATCATTTAATTGAATTTTGTATTGCAACTTAAAAAAATGTTTGGAACCCGTATATTTTGGAGATCCCGCGAGCCAAATAGCAGAATTCAAATTTACTTTCAATCCATCCAATATCAGAGGCATGGGTCATCTGCAACTCTCCTTAGTTTCGAGTGAATGAATTTCATTCAAATTTTCTTTATTATCCGATTCCACTGAATATTAATAGGGTAATGTGGGATTAAGCTCCTGGTTAGAGTAAAAGTATTAAATCTTACCCCTATTCCTAACCAATAGCCCAATGTTCCATCTGAGTGTGTTACTAAAATTAGAAATCACATCACTAAAATATCTAAAAGTATGAACCAAACTATTGCAAGTTAATATTTACTTTTAAATTGCTTTAAGTTAAAATATTTTATTTCATTACAAATATTTTTGACCGTATGTCAAATAAATATTGTCCAATTACAATTCACATTTTCCTTTATCTGAATGTTTAGCCATTGTTGCGTTTCATTATCTTAATACCTGCACCATTTGACGCATGCGCATTGCAATGTAAATTTTATTTCTCTCACTAATGTTGCGGGAATATGGGTTTTCATCATGAAAACTCGACTTAGATATTTTGCAGACGCAACGGATGTACACAATTGTTGGTAAAAATGTGTGACCAATGTAGCGAAGTTTTGGTTCTCATAAATAACCGTAAGTAAATTCATTTGATATATAAGTGCTTTTGTATTATTACCCGGTGTGTGAGGGGAAGAAGTTTAAGGGGGTGGGGGCTACATAAACAAACTAAGACTAAAGTAAGACATCTAATGAAATTTTAACTAAGAACCGACCAAGTCGCCTCAAGTAACATTAACATTAAATCTGAAACTAAAAATTAAAACTTAAATGGTAAAAGAAGCTTAGACTTAGAGATACAAGACAAGCTATTTAGGAGTATGAATCTATGAATTTAGTATCCTTGTCAAATGTTGTGTTAGACCAAAGCCAAAGGCCAAGGACTACTAAAATTCATATAAATTATAAACTTGTCTTGTATCTGGATTTCACATTTCTGGAAATGGAAAGCTCAAATCAAATTAATAATACTAATAATGATGGTGAGTATATGTGATTCCAATTGTTCACTTATTGTTAAATCAAAGCAATTTTTAATTTTATACTTTAATTTGGGTATTTGACGAGACTGTAGAACTGAGTATAGAAAAAGTCGAGGCTAATGTCCATGCATGGTGCACTACTTTGAATTTCTGTGTAGGATTCTCTCCCTGTCATCTTTTGTTTATTCTTGGATTGTTACTAGAGTTGACTGTACATTTCATGTTTTCGCCCTATTCCACCATGGCCGCCATCTTCATTGTTATGACGGCAAGTGTCATGATTACCAAGATGGTGGCAGTGTAAAAATAGAAATATTGCAAACATGTCCGCTAAAATGGTGAGGGGAAAGAGAGTGAATTTGCTGATTTAGCTACTTACCAAGGAACGAAAATAGGAAGAAAAACATTATAAATTTAATGTTCGCCCCCTTTCCTGGTGTAATTTTAGCCAGTACATTAATTTCGATAATTTCGTGGCAAACATAGCGACTTTATTGTATCCCTCTAGATCAGTGGTTGGCAAATCACGGCTATTGCGACCTGAGTGAGGTTCGATTGAAGATAATTGTCAAAAAAATATTTAATTAATTTTTAACATTTGTCCTTATTTTGGTTTCTCTTGGTTAGCAGCTAAAACAACACATTATCTCTCTTTCCCCTTCCCATTCTAGCAGACGATTGTTTGCACTACTTTTTTCTTTTTTTTTTTTTACATGGCCACCATCTTGGTTACCTTTACTCGTCTGCCATTATGGCAAACAAGATGATGGCAGTGGGAAATAATTGATGGCAAACATGAATTTACCAAAGTCTAGTAGTAAGTTACTAGGTCTATATTTACATTTGTATATCAACTAGGGCCACAAAGGAAACTGGAAAAATCAAACATCTTTTTTAAGCTATTCCTAAATTTAACTGGCTATTTTAAATTCTAAATAACCGTTGGCGTAGGCCTCAACAGTGAACTTGTGTTAGTAGTTACTGGTACTAGTCAGTAATAGTCACTATTAGTAAGAAGTGCTACTTGACGAGGGGAGAATCCTCGATATTAAAGTTATTTATTTTATGAAAGTAGTCCAGATTTGAGTGTGAAAAGTGTCTGAAAGGCATTTGAATTTGTGTGAGCAACAGGGATGAGTGTAAGTCAAGCCTGCACAACTCAAAATGTAAGGCAGACCGTAATACTTTATGAAAAATTTGTGCCGGCCGAAAGAAAATAGAACAGTTGGAAAAGCTATTAATAATTTAGAAAATAATGGTTGCAAAAAAGAATATTTCGTTACTTCACACGCCGCATGTTGTGCAGGCCTTTTGTAAGTAGTGCAGGAGAGAGCATGTGTGAGTATGAAGGCTCAACATGGCTATGTTGACAGTGATTGTGATCCTTTTTGTCTATGTAGTTCTCTGGCTATGCTTTTTAGAGGAACTCTGATAACTAATGGGAAAACTTGTGTTAGATTAGAATTAAGTCTTCGTGTAATAAAAGTTTTATAACTAATAATTAGAAAGGATTTTGTGTCAATGTGTTATTGTGTATGAGGGTAAGAGCTTCATGTCATACCCTAGGCCAGTGGTTCTCAACCTATTGTACAGATACCCCTTGGGGATATGTAAAATTATATTGATATAGGAGGAAAATGACCAAAAAGATTTTTTACACTTGTTCATTTTCAAGAAGCTATATTTCATCTAATCTAATGAAAGTAGTAAATTCATACAGTTTGGCTTCTCTTCATGCAGCACTGTCTATTCTGCACTGTTTGTTTCCCTTTAAACTCATAATCCAATAAGATTTAAAACTTATTATTGATTTGAAAACCAGATTTTAATTATGTTCAATGTCCAAAAGTTTCTCACTGCAGTTCACATTGACATTGAATATTTCTAAAAAGCATTTCATTTATTGTTTAAAATAAAAGGCTATTTCTTTCCCTGTTTCACACTAATACCTATAACCACTGGTTTGTGACATGAACTTCCCAGTGCATCATTCATATTTGCATTATGTACACAAAGGGTGTACTTAAAATCATCAAATAGTTATATAGACACAATCACACAAACGTCAACCAGGAATTTTTGTAGGATTCCAAAGTGGCAGCCATAAAAAAAATATAATTGAACAGTTTACTTATTTTGGGAGTAAACATTTTTCATTAAAAAACTTTATTAGAACTATATTCTATCATACAGATCTATTATTTTAGGACTTGTAAAGAGAGTATTGCAGTATGGAAATCTAAATTGGTTTGATATCCTTAAACTCAATCACATATATTGTCCTGTTTTGGGTTGGGAGAAATTGTCATATCCACCACCCAAATTATAGCCGTAATATAGTCATTAAGAAAATGATCCAATTGGATGTTTTCATTCCATTTCTTCTCCACTGTTGGAATGATGAAAATTGCATACTGTACAAGCTAAATTTTACTAAATAATAAATAAAAAAAACTTTCACTCACTGTATGGTTTTAGATTTTGTTGGAATTACTGTTTGAAATTTATCTGCATAGGAGAAAATGCTGATTTTTAAAAATAATTCTTATAACACTATCCAAATTGCTTTTGAAGCACTTGAAAGACGATAAAGCGCTGACAGGCTTAAGAATTACAATCAACACAATTTTATTAAAATTAGCAAGCAAAAGCAACAAGCAAGTTGGCACCACTGTTTCAGGGTTCTCTCTGAATTGTGATTATTGCTCTGCATGAAAGTGAATGAGTTATTAAATAATTAACAGCTCACTACTTACATTTTTAAAAAATCACAGATCACACTATATTTTACAGATCACAGTCGCCACGTGTCAGGTGGCTCATCACAACTGACAAGATCTGAAGTGGAAACTTTCATTAGATATGCCATTTCTTGGAATAACAAGTAAGTGCTTTCAATATGTCCTGAAATTATTTTACAATTTGCACAATATTTTGTTCCCCCTTTCCCTTCCAATTTTGATTTACTCCTGCCATTAGTAAATCTGTTGAATTTTTTTCCACAATTTTAGAAGATGCCTGTGCATATACAAGGACTTCAAAAATTTTGACAAGCTTACCAACCTAGTTCAAGTAATCCTTAACATGGGAATGGAGCTAATACAGTCCTTGCCTGAAATACTTCCTCACAAACTTAAAGCCAAAGTTGCGGAAGCTGCCAGAAAAGAACGGACACAGTCCCAGTCTTCTGTTCATGAAGACGTAGCTAGGAGAAGCAGTGAGTCTGCCAGTGATGAGACTAAAGCTGGGGATGATGAGGCTAAAGATGAATCTTTGCTAGACCTTGATGTTGATAACATTTGGAGTGAGTGGAGCATCGAAGAACTGAAGCGCATGCTGGATTTTCAGACCCAGCTGTTTCTTTCCAACTTTGCTGTTTATGTGGCACATAAAGTGATGACAGCTCACAATATGGAGGTACAGTATTTTAAATTATTTTTAGTTTTAATGATGCTTGTGTGTTTTAATTCTATCAAATACATAAGCAAGACAAGCAAAAGCAAGATAATATCTATTCTTGTACAATATGCATCTAAATTTGAAGTAAACATTTATCTTAAGTTGTCAAGTCAATATTATGTCTTTGTTTTTTTTAGGTGAATGCTAAAGTATTATCGTTGTTTTAATTAATTGAAATAGTTCAAATTGAACCGCTATATACTTCAGCTTGACTAAATGCCCACATGAAAGAGCCTTGTTTATTATATAGTCATGATATTGATATATTCATTATTATTTTGTATAGCTAGTTTATTTTAATGTCTTGAAATTTAACTTACAGGAATTGTCTTCAGCTGAGACCACAGCCTTACATAACTATTGTGAGATTAATGTAAGTGGTTTAAAGAAAATTTTTATTCATCTAAAATTTAAATACAATTATTTGCTTGACAGATTGGGGTTCTTGTCATATTTGCTAAGGGAGTGGTTTGAAGTCTTTGATGATTAAATAATGTTTTGCTTCTTTCAAAACTAAAGTACACATGTTAACAACTTGAATAAGGTGTTTGGGTGGTCGAGTTAGAGAGATAAGGATTAGCATCACATTGCCAGAACCATTTGCATGTCTTCTCTCAAAAAAAAAAAAAAAAAATTTAAAAATCAAAGCAGGAGAAAACAAAAAAAAATCCTTGTGTGGCTGATAACAAAAAAATATTTAAGAAAAATTCAAAAACGTGAATGTAAAAAAAAAAAAAAAGAAAAAAAAACTTTAAAAAGGTGTTTGGGTGGTCGAATTAAAAAAAAAAGGATTAGAAACACATTGCCAAAACCATTTGCATGTCTTCTCTAAAAAAAAAAAAAAAAAAATTTAAAAATCAGAGCAGGAGAAAACCAAGAAAAATCCTTGTGTGGCTGATAACAAAAAAATATTTAAGCAAAATGCAAAAACGTGCATGTAAAAAAAAAAAAAAATGCAACTACCTTATTACATCCTTTTTTGAAATATTTTTCCAGGATATGGATGCACCGTTGTTACTTCTTCGAAACATCTGTTTCTTCATTGACAGTAATGGAGTTGGGGCAATGATTCAATGTTTTGAGAAGGCCAACAACAAAAATGTTCCTCTCATTTTTGCTCACACTCTTATCACTATAATACAAAATGTGAGTGGGTGTTCTGACAGTTATGTCCATAGAATTTTAAGTATACATCAATGGTAATTTTCTGCATTTTAAATAACAACCTTGTAGAAATTGATATTTCATAGACTATCATCTTCTTACATTCCCAGCTGAGGATGTGGGTAAACACTCCTACGATAATGACATGCATCCTGCCTCTTCGATCCCCTATCATACGCTATATGTGTACACTGTCAGAGGCTGATATGAGAGCTGCTGCTGCTCACAACACAATGGAGCTCATGTGGCAAGCCATCAAAGAACCTGTTGACTCACAGATGACTTTTGATCGAGAGGTTATGGCGCTTGTATACAAATGTTTTACCAGCACCACATTGACTATCCGTTTAGGGAGCATTTGTCAAATTAGTGTAAGTTTTATAAATTAAAATTTTCTCTTGTATTTTAATAATTAACATTTGCTTTTAAAATGTTCTCCATCAGTCTTGAAACCTAAAAAAATTATTCAATTTAATAAAAACTTGAATAAATATGCTTATTACTTGTAAGGATAGTTTTTTGTACATAAATTTAATGCTTAATTTTACCAAACATTTTTTCTTATCCTGTAGACTCTGATCAATACTTACAATGATAATATCACAAATGAGTCGATGATTGATGTGGAAAAGTAAGTTTTAATTTACTAAATCAAGCATATATTTTAAAATTGCTAGTTGATTTTTATTTTGTATTTTTCTTTTCCTGCATTGGGATTTTTTTGTAATTTCAAATGGATAGCTTACAAAAAGAATATACATATGATTGAGATGATGACTCTAATGTGCCTAGTCCTAAAATAATCCTTCTAAGTATGAGTAAATAGTATAAGTTCTTTTCGTGCCATCCATTTTATTGAGCAGGCACTAATTCTTAATTTTGTCCTTTTATATCTCACAGTTTTGGAGAAGAAATGGCAAGATGGTTGCTAGAGAATAAAATAGTGGAACAAATATTTGGACCAAACTTACATATAGAGGTTTGTTGTCAATGATACAATTTACCTAAAAATTTCCTCTTGATATCTTTGAATAGAACTGATTTGACATAAGTTTGAATTAATAGGTATTTTCTTTATGTATTTTATTTGACTTCAGTTGTTGGTGGCAGACAACATTACTTTAGTATAACATATCCATGTTATATATATATTTAGTACTGAGAATGAGAACCTTACTTTATATTTCAGATCATCAAACAAAGTCAGATAATTCTGAACTTTTTAGGAGCTGAGGGCAAAATCAACAATCAACATTTGGATTGCATTTGGGCAGCAGCACAGGTATGTTATTGATTGGTCTTCTCTATCTTTATGTTAATATGTTAACAGCACATGTATTTTATGGATTGGTGTCTATTCCATTGTCATGCTAATATCTGATTATTTTCTATTACTTTACAATGTTAACAAATAAAGAAAAGTTTCTCATTTTTTCTGAAGTCTAATTTCTTTTAATCACTTGCACAATTATATTTAAATTGAAAGTGTAATTACCAGTTACTTTCAGACATTATAAACTCTTAAAAGTATCAATGCCCATGCAAGAATATTGCTAACTTTATAAAAATTTGTATCCCTTCAGTTGAAGCACTGTGGTAAACAAGTTTATGAAGTTTTGCTTCCTCTCATTAAGTCAGTTGAACCAGAGCAGAACCGTCATTTACGCCACTTGATTGACAAGCTAGATCCTGGTAGCTTTAATGAATCTGTAAGAAACTTTTAATTGAATTAATCATTTTTAGTCAACACTTTTAGGAAGTTGTTTGAAAGTAGGTAAAAATAAGGCTTGATAATTGATTACCTTGACTAGTATATTTTAGGCAGTGGTCATGTTGCGGCACTTTTCTTTCTTAAAGGTGCTGTGTCTTTCATCAATTCTGACTCGCAGCCAGTGGCAAGCTTTTCAGGCTGAAGAAATTCAGAAACGTAAACTTGCTTCTACAGCAGCTGTAACTGGGACAAGACGTGAGTTTTATTTAGGTTTTTAAAAATAGTTCTTGATTTTTCTCTAGTGTGTTCACTGTTTTCTTAAAACATCAAACTTTTTAGGCCTTTTGACTTTTATGATTATTTAAGTTAATCTATAATGGTGGATTTTTATTGTAAATTTGCATATTGTTTTGCATACCAGGAGCTGTTAAAACATCAGCTGATCATATGAGTAGTAGTGAGAGTGAGTCTGATGAAGGCGGCGTTCCTCCATCAAAGATTCAAAGGGTGAATATTTAATTTATTAGGATTTCATGCGACAGAGGATTTTTATTTAAAGAAACATTGATAACTATGTCTTTCATATATTTTAAAAATGAACGATTATCATTTATGTAATCAAGATGGATATTAAAGACCATTCACTTCTTATCTCTCTTGATTACTAAAATTTCAACAATGACAATCATCTTCATTGAGAAATTTCTTCCAAGTGTCTCATCAAAATATTCCAGCGAATTCCAGACGTCAGTGCTGTAGCTGATGAGCTTGTAGGGACCTTGGGAACTGAAGATGGTATATGCTGTGGGGGTTGTGTACCTCGACATACTATCCATCATCTACCTCAGTCCCACCACCACCACCAACAGCACCATCACCGCCATGTCCACCACCATCATGGTCAAAGGCAGCAGCATTTAAATCTCCATCACAGTGGTGTGGGCTCAGACAGTTCTATGGAAGGTGAATTTGATTAGAATTCATTTTAATACAGCCATCAAATGTCATAAGTTAAAGCTGTGCATAAAATTATATTTAGTGGCAGATCCATAGAAACATGAAATATTACTTTAAATACCATTAAAGTTATAAATATTCGTTCAACTCAAAAATTGCTTTCTAGGTCTGAGCAAACAATTTTCTAAAATTACTTACGATTTTTTAGAAAAGTATGAACTTTAAAAAAATAAGTGTGTGTGTCGCATTACAAAAAGTTAACTATACATTTTCTATTTGATTGCAGCTAATACAATTATTTATTGTTGTTATTAAAAACATAATATTTTATTTCATATCAGGTCAGTCAGATTTGAGTTTTGAAGATGATGAAGAAGAAGAGAACCCAAAGTTGAGGGCGGTAGTCCAGAGTGTCATGGCGAGAAATGCTCCCAAACCTGGAGATGTGGATGATGGCTGTGAGTCTAGTGAAGAAGATGGAGGGGCGGATGTGGTGGTGAACAAAGAAGGAATCCCCTTACCTAGATCTGTAAGAGAAAGGATGGCTAGAAAATCAGATGGATTTGGCAGAAAGCCTGAAGTGAATGAGGTAGAGGTTGATGCTTTAGTCGGTGTGGTTAGCACAGCTACTGATGAGGAGGAGGAAGATGAGGAGGAAGATGAGGATGAGGAAGTAAGCTCGGATAGTGATGGGCACCAAGAACACCACAACAAAGAGCAAGAGAGACAACTGCAGATGGAAGCTGAGAAAGCTATTCGTCAACAGAGGCTTACAAGACAGCTGATGGCATCTGGGTCTGAGGATCAGTCCTTGGTGGAGGTGCATGAAGTAGATGAAGATGATGAAGAGGAGGAGGATGATGAGGAAGAGGATGAAGAAGAAGAAATGGAAGATGCCAAAGGGGTATTACCTGCTAAGGTATGATAAATCTTGTCAATTTTTTTAAAGATAACAAGAGCGTTATGGGTGAAAAATTTAAACCTCTTTATTAAACTAGCTACATTGAAGGAATGCATAGTTAAATTATCAAAATTGACCATCCAAATTTCTTGGACTGTCATAAACAACAATCCATCTCAAGAAAGTGAAACCCTTCATTCAACTCAGGAAAGCAGCCTGCAGTGTTTCAATGTTTTCTTTATTCAAACCTTAAAGGGGGTGCAAGGTGAGAAATCTGCAAAAGCTATATAAAGTTTGAGTATTTCTGGGTTTTGATATATTTGGTTCCTAGAGTTAATTTTGTTTTTTAATAACTTAAAAAAATTATTTTAAAAATGTTAGTAAATATTGTAAAATTTTATTTTTCTAACCCTATAAATGGGTATAAAGTCATTTTTGACAAAAAATAGTGTTTTAACCAATTTCGATTGTGTACTTAGAATCACTCAACCACCTTGTATTTTGTATTAATACACAGCTGGATTTTTACAGATTTAGATAAATAAATATAGTTTCCTGGCATAGCGACAGTTACAGAACCCTCTATAGGCTTTGAATAATTTTCAAAATGGTGTTTTCCTGACCTACCTATAGGGTCTTATTCACTATGGTTAGACCCAACATGCAAATTTTATTTTAAATCACAAAAGATGTCGCTTAAAAAATTTAGATTTTCACATGCACCTCTGCTTATTACAAAGTTTTGGGGTTATGCAAATCTGTTTTTTAATTATTTATTCTCAATTTTCATTCATAAGAGTATTTTGTGACAGACCTTTGTTCTTGATTAACATATTTGATGCCTTATTCATTGCCCTAATCAAACATAGCGAACTCCAAAAATAAATTTTCTAGGCCCCTGTTCATGGCAAGAGCGATGAGAAACACAACAGCAGTATGAGTGATGAGGAATGGCAGGCTATACATGGACTACATGCTCATGCTGCTGTAAGAGGTCATGGTCACCACCATATAATGCTAGAGGAGGAAGAGGAGGCTCTCATGAGAAATCTTTCATCAAAGGATCTCAAACCAGGGTTTGTTATTTGTCGTATGCTAAAGTATTTTGATTAAGGTTCAAACGAGATAAGTAGTATTTGATAACAAATGTATTCATAAAACTATTAAAATTATTTGTGAGAAATTACATTTTTTGTTTTGTGGTCCAACGTATTTTATCCCAGAGGCAATATAGATATTTATTGCAAGTTTTAATATCATAATAATTTTAATAACATCTTGTATTATTAAAAATAACACAGGAAAAATTTAACAAAAAGGGTTTGTATGAGCCCATGCTTTAAAAATGTTTTAGCAAACCATATTTGACACAGGACAGGGTTTGATCTGACCTGATTTTTTATCAGCTATGCATCTGATATCCAGTGTTTATGATGAGAGTACATGTAAAATATGAACCTTAGTGATCTGTATAGGGATGTGTTTTGGTAGTACACAAAAGAATGGGGCATATGTTTTACAAACTTTTTCATTACTCAGCACCTATGGACTCAGTATCCTCAGTCCTGATGATGATGAAGGAAGTTGTCACAGCTCTCGCATTAGCAACAAGTCTGAGAAAAACATGGCAGATTTTGATGGAGAAGAAGGATTGAGTGAAGAAGAGTTAGCTCAGATTAATGCTCATGTAAGATTTAATGCTCATCAAGCAAGCCCACATATGACAGCTCTCTACCATCCACATAGAGGTGGGTTTTCAGCTTCTTGTAACTTTTCTTATTTTTGTTTGCTAGAGCATAATGCAGATGTATATCGATTTTAGGGAAATAGTTCAAGAGCTTTAATATTCAAATTATATAATTATTCTGTAATACTATTTAGAAACCATGACAATGGTATTTCATGTATTTTAGGGTGTAATTATTTTGTATTGCAGGTCATGGAGTGCGGAGACCAAGGCTCAAGCTTAAAAGTCCAGCTTCAGATTTTTGTTTAAATGATGTCTGCAAACCTGGACACACATTGCTTTGGGATTTAGTTCAAGATAACATGGCTGTAAGTTGGGATCCAATGCCCTTAAAGACCTATGTACTTTGGATTTGTTAGAGCAGGGTTGGCCAACCAGCAATTTGCAGCCCGCCCCGTCACTCAAAATACTGTAACCAGAGGATGCTTAATTTGTCACATATAAACTTATTTGTTCTTTATTGAATTGAGTTTTATTCTGTTTTGTTGTGTGTTAAGATAAACATTAACAATAGATAAACATTTCAATTCATTTAGTGGGGTTTTATTTTAATGTAAGGTGAAATGACACGCAGCCCGTGAACTGTTTACTTGCTATCAAAGTGGCTTGCGAAGCCTTATCGGATGACCACCCCTGGTTTAGAGCTACTGATCAATTATTAAAAATTTTATACATTTTTACTGTTGGATAATTAACTTATTCCTGTCAGTATTGCTACTTAATTTATATTTTTGAAGTAGGTTTAATAAAAATATATCATTAACAGTGAACAAATAATGAGCAATGACCAAAAATTTGATTTTTGGAACCTCGGAATAACGCATACTAATTGTAGACACATCCCACGAAAGCATATATGGATTGAAAGTGAAACAAGATAAAAACTTCAGTTTTAAAAATAAAAATCAAGCAGAATCACGCCATCACCGGAAGTCTTGATTCAACATTGTTTGCTATTTTAAAATAAAAATGTGAGAGTTGTGTTGATCCGTGCGGGGGTGCATTTTGATGCATCCATCGGAACGCCCCAGGACATATTTAGTTGCAAACATCGGGAATAAGTTAATTGTATTTTGTCTTTAATATTATTAAAGAATCTTAATTTTTTAGCATCTAGATTTTGTCTTGAATAATTAAGACAAAAATAGCTTTATAATTTTCTAAAAGGTGTATGTAAGTATAAAAATTATCAAACCCTTTATATTTTTAGATTCAACTGCCAGAGGGTATTGCAACTGAGGCAGAAAAAGTTTTAACAAACTTATTGTGCTGTTCTAATGACCGACAAATCAGAACAAAATTCATTGAGGCAATTATAGATAACCTTGCCAAAAACAAGTAAGACCCTTTTTCAGAATAAATGGATTTTTGTTAAGTAAAATATTGATTTATTGAATTTTATAATCCGTTTTATAGGCTTGAAGTAATTATATTTTCCATATAAATCCTTCTTTATAATATAATATTCTTGGCTTGTGACAGAGGCATATTTATGTCTCACTAAAATACATTTTTTAATTTCTTTGGATTCTTTCAGATCAGTGGTAGTTGCCTTGCGTTTATTGACGAAGTTATTCAGTTCTTTTAACAGCATGAGACCAATGGGAGGCTCATATAAAATTGTTCTGTAAGTATTAGGTCAAATAATACTATTTGTTGTTTTTTTGTGTTTTTTTTAACACCAATACACATATTACCATCTTTTTTGTTGATTTTAAATAAAAATTTTCAATGTTTCAGATGGGCGGAAAAAACTCTAGACATGATGACACATTTCTTTAATAACTTGGTTCACTTTAGTGAACAGGCAAAAGAAAGAACAACCTGGACATCTCTGTAAGTATAACTTACCAACCGGTCCATCCTTATGGCAGACCCTGCCACTAAATAGATTTTAAAAAAAAACTCATCTTTTTTCTTTCCAGAAGGTCTAGAGCCTTAGGGACATGTTTGTTGGAAAATCCCTCCCTGGTATTTAAGTACATATAGTCACCAAAAATTTCAAGCATAGCCACTTAAACACATGTCCATCTGTGATTGAAGTTGATAAGACCACTTTCCTTCTGGGAATAATGGTTTTACTTGCACATTTTATTATTATTAGTAGTGGTTTTGTGTAGCGTGATACCCCAGCCTAAGGTATATAATAAACGCTCCTTCTACTTCCATGGGCCCACGTTCTGGAACCAGCTCCCCTTCCATATCCGTCATTGTGAAACCTCGTCCATTTTCAAAAAGTCCCTTAAAACCCATCTGTTTAGGTCCGCCTATGACCTGTGATGCACCCTCCTTGCCCTGCCTCATTTTCTGTTTCGGGTTGATCCTGAAGTATAGGCCAAAACGTGTCAAAGTGTCCTCGTTTTATAGCCATTTTCATTGTTTCTATAGTATAGTAGTTACTATCCTAGTGTCTCATTTTTATTTTACTTAGTTTACATGTTTTTAATAATTGTAAAGCGCTTAGAGCTTTATGGTAAGCGCTATATAAAAATGCCTAAATAAATAAATAAACAAATAAAATCATAGGTATGGGAGACCCAGTCGTCGACTTCAAGACTGTTTTAGAAAACACCTTTACAACATCTAAAAATTTCAATAGAGCTAATTGTAAAGGAATATTAGATGTTGCAGTTACTGGTATATTTTATGCGAGTAATCAATAATATACCTGATAGAATTTATATGGGGAAAAAATTAATTAAACGATTTGGTACTTTGACTCCATACGAATAAACCAAAGTCAAAATTTTACATAAAATATTACATAGCTGCAATGTCTTTTTCCTGTTTAGTTTTGTATTGTACGTCCACCAACTTTCTTTCTATTCTTCTGATCTTTGTTTTCAGTTAGGGATTTGTGCCCATTCTTATTCTTTTTTTTTTTTTTCATTTTTAGGCATGGGTAGAATATACATATTATGTAAATTTAATATTAATATATAATTATTTTAATGTATTATAGTTGTACTGATGAAGGAATTTGTCAAAGCGTTTGAATTTGTATTTTGCCTAATCATAAGTTATATAGTATTTCATTTACAGAAATATTATGTGTCTCATTTATCGAATTATAAATTTATATGCAATCATAAATCTCAATAGAAATGTTTTTCTTATAATTTCTTGTTCATGTTTGTTATGCATTTTAATTATTGTGTAGTTTCTTTTCCAATTTTTTTAGTATTGATTCATTTCAAATAATTTCAGCCATGGATTTAAAGAAGAAGTCTCAGCCCGCCTGGTATTTCTTTCCTGTGTATTTTCTTGTCAGTACTCTCCTGAGACATTTAGTAAGTTTCATATGTAATTTTGTTTGTATTGTGTCCTAATATTTAATGTAACTTATTGTATACTTTGTGGTTGAAAGTACTGGTAAGTTTTATTGGGTTTTCTATTTAAGATGCTTTTTAAACAAAATTCACTATTAGGTTTTGTATAAAAATGTTTGTCTGCATTTAAATTAAGGCACTATCTGATGGTTTACAGACAAATACATGCTGTTTGCTTTTTCTCCCTTAATTTTTCAGCATTCCCTAATATTACATTTTTAAATGTTCATAATCTATCTCTTAAATTGATTGGAGTTTCACCCAAGCTGTTTAAGTAATTTCCTAACAATGTTAACATTGGTATAGATGTTATAATGTAAACATTTTTACACAATGAAAACTCCCTTAATTTGTAGGTAATATGGAATGAATTGATAAATGTTGACTTCAAAATATGATTTGGTATGAGATAGTTGTTAAAAGTTGACTAAAAATTGTTACAATGTAGATAAAATAGGACTGTTAAATTATCGAAAAATTATAACAGTTGAAGCTGGATGGGACTTTCTTAGTTAGGACATGGATATATGATAACCTTATTAGAACATTTTTTAATATTTTTTAATGAAAAAATGATTTTATACTGTATGACCCAATTAGTACAACAAAGAATAATTTATATTTATATCCATACATATTTTACTATCACTGATTAAATAAACCAAGGGGGGGTAATTTTTTCCCTTCTTACATTTATGAAAAATATTCATTTTTAAATCAAATTTAATGTATAAAAGTTGATTTTGTTAATTAAAATATACTTTAAACAGACTTTAACTAATCCAGTGTATTAAATTAGTTTTTTTATTTTACCAATACTTAATAAAAGGACTTAAATGTTTGACATATTATAATGCCTAAAACCATTCAATTCTTATAGTTCTTTCTTGTATGCTATATATTGAAACGGTTTGCAGGTGTTTATGAGGTCCGCTGGTTGTTGTAACCTTGAGCAAATAATTTGTCATTCATGAAACTTCTAGAACTTATTTGACTTCAACCGACCTTGACCTCTTTTTCTTAACTTTTACAGTAGTTAATTACATTTCTGTAAAACATTATACTTTTGCTACATTGCAAGTAAACAAACATTTTTTTAAGACTCACTAATGGACCTAATTTTTGTTGTTGATCAAATCTATATTTCAGCACAATCTTTGTCTGCCTAATACATTTTTCAGAATATTTAAATTATTGTCTACTGTATATGTGTATAACTCTTTCCCTGCTGAATTTCTTTTCATAAAAAGGATGTTCTTTGGTTTATAAGACTAAACTTGGTATCAAATGAAAGATAATTGAAAGGGCTATATGTTTGTAAGCGTATTTCTTCAGTTTAAATAAATTAAGTTACAGGAAAAACCATAAAATGTGAAAACATTTTATGCTAAACCATTTTTTCCCCAAACCCTATGATGTACGCATACCTCAACTTCACTTTTATAACTCAAATCCTCTAAAACTACTAATATCGGAATCATGCGATGAATCTAAATATAAATCATCTTCACTATCAAAAGAAATAGCATAAAACAGTTCCAAAGCTTTTTGAGCTGTTAATCATCTAGGAAACTTATTCATCTACTAGGGGCTAGAGTAGCCATAGCAACAGAAAAAAAAAAAAGCGAAGAAATTCATTAAAATAATGCTTCAAATGACAACAAATAAACCTTGGTTTCACTTATTAACAATGAAGTACCACTCTTCTATGTACAAGTCTAATTTAAAAATAGCAAAGAAACAAACATAACATTGAAACAATGACATCGCGTTGGCCCGTGCTATTGAGAACGGGGGATAAACGCAGTGTGCGTTGTTCCGCATCGAAAGAGTTAAACTTATTTTTGATAGACAATATATATTTTAAAAAAACTTTAAAATGTTTATTTTAAAATATAATTAGGACTGAGTCAAGAACAAGCTGACCAACTTTGGGAGTGCCTTGCCACCAACCCTGAGAGTTGTGAAGACTGTCTCAGCTGGTTTTATGACCAGGCCAGGGTCAAAGAGAACCATGCCCTTGACCTGGATACATTGAAACATATATTTATTGTCAAGGTAACATTTTTCCCATTAATAATCACAAAGTATGGCTTTATTTCTCCAATTTTATATATATTTCATATATATACATCAAAAGTTCATATTTGTTTCTAACTTAAGATGTTATTAATGAACTTCTGTAACCAGGTTTAAATTTAACTTATTTAAAAAAATTGCTTTAGCTTTTAAAACAAAAGACCAAAAATTATCACATAAAATTCAAAGGTTCTTTCATTTGGAAACAATTTTGTCTTTGTAATTTAAATGAGTGAAAGTAAACAATAAAATTGATTTTAATTTTTTAAAATTTCATTGTAATACAGAACAGCTACTTCTTGATTAAGCTTCATAACCAATACACAGCACATGAGATGATTATATTTTGTAAATTAGTAAAGAAAAATTTGTGACCTAAAAGAACCACAGCCTAACGCAAAGAACAATGTTTTTATGAGATTAATGAGACTCTTTTGTGTAAATAAAACAATAAAGCTTAAGCTTTATCAGTACACCAATAAAACATTCATAAGTATAAATTAAATTTACTTAATATATAGGTCTATATATAAAGACATGTATCCTACCCTAAAATGAAAGAAAAGAATAAGTATGGGCACAAGATCCTGACAAAAACAAAGCTCAGAAGAAAAGAAAGGAAGTGGGTGGAAGGGAAAATTAAAAAACCCAACAGAAAAAGACCATTGCAGCTTTTAAAATTGTGATAACCAAAATGGAATATTAGACAAAGCAGCTACTGGTGTAATGTACTTGCACCTGATAAAATTTATATGGAAAATAAATTAATAACAAGATTTGGTATGTTGACTCCATACAGTAAAATTCAGTATTTTACATAGCCTTTCTTCAGAGCTTTGTTTTTGTCAGGGATTTGGGCCCATCTTTTATTTTTGTTTTATTTTTAGGTGAATACACACACATACACATTATATTTATATATATATATATGTATTTATATATATATACACACACACACATTATATACATTTTGTTTATATGAAGGTTTTTTTGTACAAGGCATTTGTCGAAATATTTGTATTCTGTGTAACCATTATTAAAGCTTAGCCTATATCGTTTTATTAACACAAATATATTTTATTACAGATGCTTGTTTTGTTATCATTATATAAAAAAAACTGAATTTCCAAACCTTGTATGTTATTTACTCCAACAGATGCCAAAATTAAAGGCTGAAACCATGGCCATGATAGGATTAAATCTGTTTCAACAACTGTCCAACATCACCTGCATGTCCATGCATGGCAAATCTCTTATCACAGATGAACAGGTCAGTTAAAGAAGAATTTCCATTGATTTTTTTAAATATTTTGTATTTGAAAATTCTTCTCACCCAAAATCTTTGTCTTACATTAAAAAAGAAAAAAATATCTTTGATAGATCTTTATGAAAAATAAATAGTTTTTGTAGAGAGGAATGAATGATGTTATTGGCTTAAAAATGTAACATTTTTATGTGATGGAAAAGCAAGTTGGGTCGGTAGGGATGAGTAATGAAAAACATGTGACACTTTGTAACAATTTTGAACTACAACTTTTGTGTCTGTTGTCTACTAGATATTCAATAATTTTTTTTCTTTAATATATATAAAATATTTGACTATCAGTTTAAATCAGACCTGCACAACAAACGGCCAGCAAAGTAACGAAATATTCTTATTCTTTTCTTAATAGCTTTCGCCCCTGTCCTATTATCTTTTGGTCCGCACAAGCTTTTCATAAAGTATTACGGCCCGCACACGTTCTTCATTAAGTATTACATTTTGAGTTGTGCAGGCCTGGTGAGGTTTAATTTTAAAGACAAATATATCTATTTATCAAATACAAATCTATGGAATAGTTTGCATATCACCTAAAACCTGTTCTTAAAAAATGAGATTGGGTTGAAGTGGATGATTTCTTGATAGTTTATAGTAAACTTAATTCTAAAATTTAAAAAAAATTTAAATTGCTTGTCCTCTGTATCTGCAGGCCTGTGGTATGGACCAGCTGTGGGAGATTGCACTGAAAGCCAGCAACAAAGCTGTGTCCACTGAAGCTATTCATATCTTGAACAATTATTACATAAACTATGGAGGTGGGACACTGGACAAGGAAGAAGAGTTTGTGCAGCGATGCATGAACAGTCTAATGAAGACTATGAACACCTTAAAAGAAGTAAGTTGGTTGAATATTCTTATAAAGAAGTTTTCAACAATGATCTTTTTATAATAATTGACAATGCCTGTTTGTTATGAATTTAACTAAGTTTGTATAATCTCTTGATGTGAAATATGAATCAAATAAAACTAAAGAATTATGCTTAAAATTGTTACTTCAGGATCCAGCCACAAAGCTGCCTATAATTCAGAGAGGCCTATTCTTATTCAAGCATCACTTGGATGCATTTAGGCAGCGCTATGCCTACCATCTGCATACCTGGCAGCTAGAGAATGTAGGCATTTCTAGTCACCTTCCAGCCAACAAACCACAGACCATCAACATATACCTGCAGAACACTGACATGTCTGATAAGGTTAGAGAATTTTTGAAAAGCAATACACTGCTTACTTACTTAATGCCATGATATAAACTTTCTTGCTAATTTAGGAATGGATCATATTTAAGAGTCATTATTTAAGACAGTTAACATCCCAGAGAAGTAGTTGTTTCGTAAAGTAAGAAAAAAAAAGGAAAAACTTGATGTATTTTTTTTTATAACTCTTGTAATCTATGTATATATTTTATTAAAAAATTTGCATTTAAAAAAAAAATTATGGATAGAAATATTAATTTTATTTTTCCTTACTTAGGCTCAAATAGAAATGCACCCAAGCAATCTGGTGTCAGAGCTGAGGGCAGAGGTCACACACTGGTGGGAAGATCTTCAGAAACAACAACCAAAGCAATCCACCTCGACATCGAGCCCTGGCATTATGTCACCCTTGCTAGGTCACATGCTTGGAGAAGGTCCACTAAGGATGATCAGCTCTGGGCAGGAGTTGTTTGTAGATATGGATGAGAGGACTTTAGGGGACCTTCACATGAGTGATGGCCAGGTATGTTCTTTGGTTTTGCCAGTTTTAAGTTAGAGCTGTTTGCCCTCCTAACTTCTTGTTTATTTTACTACACACTTCATAGATGCCCACAAATCCTTAGGCTATATTGCATTGAGACATTAGAAATTTAAACTCTCTAATTATGCAATTTCAAACATAAAATAAAACCAAATTAAAATGAACATCATCTTGTTTTATCTTCAGCATGTATATGTTTCCATTGGTGCCAACAGACAACAAAGGAAGAGTGATGGCTCAATTCCTTCATCTGGGCTCTCAGTGCCAGACCGGAAGAAATTGCCTATGAATCTCTTGATTGCAGAGCCACACTTTGACAACTTATTTAAATTATTAGAACAACTTAGTGATTTGAGTTCTCAGCTGGACAATGTTTTGGTTTGTAGTCTTATTCGGAACCTTTTTAATGTAAACAGACTCTTAAGTTTATAACTTAGAGGATTTGTTATGTTTTATTACTATGTTTTCACTACAGACTACTTTATTTAATGTTATTAAATTAATTTCTAATCTTATGTTCCTTGGTAGAATAAATTGCATATCTGCCCACTTTGAGAAGTAACTATACCCATAGTCTCAAAAGTATATTAAAGTTTTGCCTCACTAATGTTAAATAGTATTCAATTTGTGACACTGTTTCTTCAGGAAAAAGAGAGAAAGGCAAGCCTACAAGCTGAAGCAAGGAGACTTTCACGTGACGTCTGGGAGCTACTGATGATGCTTCCAACCAATGAAAGTCTTCTGAATGGATTCATGAAAATTTCTACTGACCAGGTAAAAATACTTTGTGTTTTTCCTTTTATTCATTTATTTATTAGTAAAGATAAATTAGTATATGAAAAAGGGTCTGCTTTTGTGTAATCTAAAATATGACAAAAATCTAAATGTATTAAAAAAAAGTATTAAGTTTTTAAAATGTCTGGTCAGGTTGTGAGTCAAGATGAGTGGAATCAACTCCTTCCACCCAACAGTCCCCACAGACTCTACTACTCCCTGCAGACAGTGGAGTTTCTCGCCCATGGTACAAAATTAGGCCAAAAGCACATAGTATGTCTTGATTTTACAACTTTTGCTATTTAATCTTATGTATCTTAAGGTTCTCCTAATCTCAAGTTAGGAATAATGGCGTTGAATTGTGACTCAATATTTTATTCAAATGCATTCTTGTTTAGAGTAAAATATATTTTAACGCTTCTTATGTGGAGGTTCTAATCTCAAGTCATGTTTGTTGCTAAAGTAAATCATTGTTTCAAAGGTAAATCTATAACTGATTTATTTTTCATAGATGCGATCTGGCAGCGGAGATGCTTCTGAAGATAAGAAAAATTCTGGTGTTAGCAAAACTCAATGGTGTATCAAGGTAAGTTTTGTATAGCTTAAAAATGATGTGTTAAAATTAACACACCTCTTTTAATGTGTTATGTTATTTATTGAATCAGTTATAGTTCTTTCACATGTCTACTTATATTTTGATTACTTTTTTTATCTAGTTTATCTCCAAAGGAGGTTTGAGTCACATGATGGACATATTTATGAATGGATCTCTTCAGTGTAAGGAAGGAAACATTTGGAGTCAGGTAAATGGATAACCAGCAAAATTAGTTAACATTTGAGTATAATTTAAATAGAATTGCTAAAACATTGATTATAAAAAAAGATAAATTGCAATTATAAAAATTGCAACCCACAGCTTCCTTGTTTTGAAGATGAATTTGACACAAATGTCTGATTTATTGCAGTGGAATCAGGAATGTCTGGGCTATCTACTGCGGCTCATCTCCCAGTTCTCTGTTGATGATCCAGCCCAAGAAGGTGAGGGGAGCCACAGCCCACGCAACAGAAGAGTCATAAATAAAAAAGGAAATGCATTTATCATCTCTACTATATCACAGGTTGGTTTCTTTGAATTTCAACTTAGAATTTAATAATTTTTAGGAGAAATAACAAGTTTATGTCCAGCATTATCTGTCAGACAAGTAACTAGTTAAAGTTGTGTAACATCACTAACTTGGTAAAAGTAGTTGTTTCTAATATTTTTTATAATTGTAATAAATGTTTTTCCTCTTTATTCAGTCTATTTTAGAAAAACTGGATGTACAGGCTGTAGTTAAAATTCTTATGCAAATATTATATGATGCAGCAATGCCAATGTAAGTATACAAAGTTGTTAAGTTGTTCTGTTTAGTCAATCAAAATTACATATTAACTTTTAACACCTTTAACAACAGTAGTAAATTATTGTTTCAGTAATTTGTTATCATCTGACAAGTAACATTTGGAACTTTTGATAAAATAAAAGAATAACAATTCTATAATTTCCTTTTATCTGACTTATCATTAGGTTTCAAATATTATCTTTAATATTTTACATCCAGGGATTCTAATCAACTGTATTGTGGAACTTGGGGAAGAAGAGAAGGTAAAAAAAAGATATTGCCTCTATTTAGACTTTATAATATTTAGCGGCCCTCTCATGTAATTAATGCCAATGGTCACCTAACATATATCTGTATTAATTTGTACTGTAATAGGATGTAAAAATATCACAAATGCCATTCAAACTTTAAAAAGTTAATTATTTATGTAATATTATGGGCTGTAGTATTTTGTCAAAAGAAACAAGAAAATAAAAGTAATTTACACTAATCTTAAAGTGCATACTATAGAAATCTCATGTTTTCAGTTGTGCAATATGCCATGTCATTTCTGGTGTCACTGGCCTATTCATGTGACCAAGTATTGGACTATCTCTGTAATGCCGACAACTTTCATTCATGGCTGAAACGACTTACACTTGAAGCTCCAGAGGTAAGATGGTACAAACTATCTTCTTTACCATTTATTAGGGGTGTCTTTTCTACGAGTTTTTTTGGATAGAGTACCTGGAGAAAAAGTATTTATTTTTGCTATGTATTTCTATCCTTTACCATTCGTTGATTTTTTATCTGTTGATTAATAATTTGTTTTTTGCCTAAATAATTGCCATTCTTATTGTGAATTAAACAATTTTTAAACTTTCTTTTTCAAGGCTCATGTGCGCAAACAGTCATGCCTTGGTTTGCATCGCCTTTGTTTAGGCAAGACAAAGCAAGAGAAAAAAGGAACAGCATTCTTAGCCCCTGTACTTGAACAGCTGCTCAGTTTCCTTTCAGATACTGAACTCTTCAAGCCCAAGAAATATGAGGTACATAAACATTTTCTTAAGCTATGTAGAAGCAAAAGTAGAAATACAAGGAAACTCTACTTCAACATAAACTTTGAGGAATATATGGGGTTAAATAAAGTTGACCATTAAATTTGATGTAATGTGTTTACTGTAATTTATTGATTATCTTAGCGGTTCTCAAGCTGTGGGTCGCCACCCCTTTGGAGGTCCCATGACCTTTTCCCAGGGGTCTCTTAAGACCATCTGAAAACAAATATGCTCTACAGTTATAAAGTAGCAACTAAAATAATTTTGTGGCCCGGGGTTGCCAAAACACGAGGAACTGTATTAAAGGGTCGCTGCATTAGGAAGGTTGAAAACCACTGGGTTAGCTGGTATAACCGTTGATGAGGAAGTCATCAATGACAGTTAGTATTTGTTGAAAGTATAAGTTGAACGTCTATTTAAATTATCGATATGTTTCAGATGGACTTCACTCGGGAGGAGAAGGAGATTTATGGAGCTGGATGCCATGACTATTTTCTCTTTATCCCAATGTGCCTTGATGAACTGGACACTCAACAGGTACGAGTATGCTGCCAGTTAAACAAATTTTTCTTTAGTGTTTCCTGCTCTAGTGCTTATGAATGATTGAAATTGAACTTTTTTTGTTGTTATTTATATTTATATTTTTATCAAACATTTCATCTGTTTTAATTTTCAGTTTACACATTAAAAACAAATGATCCATATAAATAAGGTAATATTTCTAACAAAAAGACCATATATTCATTAAATTAAAGAATAATCCCAAATATGGAGTTTGTTTTTAAATTTCACTTTCTCTATAGACAAATATCAATATGGATATTCTGCTGAAGCAAGTGACAGATGATATACTGAACAGACCTTATTATGAAACTTACAAGGGCTATGAGGAGGATGAGGGACTTATTGGATTGCTCAATGTTGCTGCAGCATTATACAGACATAACCCACCCTTCGTGCTGTCAGAGGAAAATACGGTAAGTACCAACACCATTGTTGTTCTTGGAAATGAAATAGTAGAATAGTCATAGTTACCTATTGTACTCATCCTCTCACTCCCAAATCATGCAAAGACTCACAACTTCTCAGACTACGGGGCCGCCGCCAGCTTGATCAGATGAAATGATGGACATCTTCCGCTCCAGATCTTATCCTGAAACTGCTCTTGTCTCTGCACTCAGTCGTATCATCAGCACTATCACAAGGAAAGATGCTTTTAAACCTCGCAAAAACAAAAAATGAAGATCGAAACCAAACTCACACTAACCTACCACTCTCACAATTTGACTGCCTAAAAAAATATTCATAAAGAATTGTAACATACTTCTTGCTGACCCAACACTAACAGGGTATTCTCATCCCCTCCACTGATTGTCTTCAGACGGGACAAGAATCTAGGTGGCTTTCTATTTCATAGTCGCCTTTGAGCTGACCCGTCTTACGTTGGGACTAATCCATGCTCAAGATACCATTGTAGGACTTGTCCCTTTACACTCCAAACCAAAATCATTAGCCTCCCTAAAGTTACCTTTATCATTAAAGAGAGTTTCAGATGCGTTATTTGTTATGTTATATGTGTGATAGTGTGCTGTAGATGCCACTCTAGTTACATAGGTGAAACTGGGAGAAATTTGGCAGATAGGTTCACTGAACATCTCCGGGATATTGAACAAGGTAAACTTTCCACAGTCTCTTCACACTTCAACAGAGGGCAACATAAAGGTGCATTAGATGTATCCATTACAGCACTGATTTACTGCACCAACACACCAAATAGGGTTAAAATGGAAAACAAATTTATTTAGCTTTTCGGCATTCTATCTCCATACGGTATTAATCAAATACTATCCTACTCATGTTTCTCAGTTTCCCTGTCTTTTTACTTTTTTCTCATACCTTAGATTTTATGTATCCCTTAATATTTTGGTCTGTTAAAATTCTGGACCTTATTTTTCATAGTACCTATATTTATATACTTTCACTTCTTGTAATCATACGTCCGGCAACAACAAAGGATATCTCTAAAAAAAATTTACTTTGCTCTGTTTCTTGATGTATTTCATTTGTCTTGTTCACTGAAGAAGGCTCTAAGCCGAAAATCTTATTGTCCTGTCTTATTGATTCAAGCTTCAAGATACCTTGCTCTAGTATTTCATTTACACAGCTTGAATGCAGTCCTTCAATTATTATTCTTGGAAATGTTGAAGTTTTGAGTTTCTTGAAATAAGACGTTTCTGATAATGACCTTGTTCAGTTTCTTTCAATACAGCTAAGTTAGTTTCTTTCTTGTCTAGAATTTTCTGGATGCCCTCTTTGACTTCCTGTTTCTGGTGCCAAGTCCAAAAAGCCCTCATTACCCAAAGTGTAAAAGTCAGAAGACGAGACAAGCTGCTTACGACTTAATTGCTGAGATGTGCAGTGGAAACATGAGGAACTACTCCATAGCGGTGGACAAATTTATGAAGCAGAACACCAGAGGTAAGTTTTCAATGCGAAATAAAGGTACCCATTTATTGCAGCTAAATATTTTATAAATAGTATTGAGTTGGCGTATTTCACCATTACACAGGCTTTTTGATTACAATAAATCTATCATAAAGTCATTCCTGTAACAGTGTATGGAAGGTTAATTAATTTACTTCAAGTAAGTTAAACAGCAACGTCAGTCTCAATAATTAAATAATTTCTAATATTTCTTCCCCAATTTAACAGAGGCTCATGCACCTTACCCATGGGATTACTGGCCACAGGAAGATGGCAGAGCCAAGTGTGGCTTTGTTGGTCTGACCAATTTGGGAGCCACATGCTACATGGCAACTGCTATTCAACAGTTGTTTATGATTCCAAGGATAAGGCAGTCCATACTTCAATTCCAGGTTTGAATGAATTCAAATTACTAGAATGGAAGTAAGAGCCTGTTATTACAATTAGTATGTCCCTAACAAATATTATTGATAAAGAAACCTTAGCTTTAGTAGTCTAGATTTATCTTTTAATTGCTTATGTGTTTCAGGCTGATGACTCTCGTCCACATATACAAATGATGATGGAGTTGCAACGCATGTTTGCATACCTTCAGGCTAGTAATGGGTTCTATGTTGTTATGCAGGGGTGGACAACTTACTGCCCACAGGTCATAATGACCTTCTTGAAACTGGATTGTTTCCTAAAATTTACACATTTTGAATGATTAATAAATGTATTTGACAATCAATAATTACAAATCGTCTAATAAGATAACAATCATCACAGCAAATTTAAAAATTATTCCCTAGCTTATTTTAAAAACTGAACTCTGAATGAATTGTCAAGAACTATTAAATTTCAAAAAAAAAATTAATTTCAATGGGGCACTCTGCACAAAAATGGTTGCCCATCCTTTTTGTAATGTATGGCGTAGAAAGCAGAATAAGGACAAGGTTTTTAAAAAATATAACAACTTTATATAATAAATTGAAATACTTCTTATAAAAGCAAGGTCATAAATTTGAATGGAAAAACAAAAAGTAAACTGTAATATTTGTTGGCACTTTGGTGAAGTAAGGGAGACTACAAAACATGTAGGTGAAATGGTCGTGGGTGCAGGAAAATTAAAGTTTTAAAATATTTTTTTGATGATAGTGCTATGTCATTCATAAAATATTATTTTGTCTCACTATTGTGTTCTGTTTCCATCCTTATATATATTCTCAGAGTTTCATCCTTAAGAGATTTCTCTGTGCAAACATTAAACCATTGGTCAGCGAAAGATTTAATTAAATTAGTCATGTGCAAAACTTAAAAATTCAAAATAAGTAGTCCCTCGCCATTATTTTTTGTTATAGACATTTATAAATAATGTATGGCTTAGAATTGGTAAACATAACAGCAATTTAATATATATTTAATTTACTGATAATGCAAAGTGTACAGCTAGGTAGGTTACAATTTTATTATAAATACAAAATATAATTACGTTTTTTTAAAACGCATTAATCCTGGGAAAGAAAAAAAAAGGTATAAAATTATTTTTAGAACAAGTGTCATAGCGCATGACACAATCAGTGAAATCTGATCACAAAACATGTGTGCCTTATTACTTGCACTTTAAAAATTCATAGCTCAAAAAGTACTAAAGCCAGAAAGTTGATTCTGGTTTCATTTTTGTATTGCAACTTTGCACTATACAACTGTTATTTATTAGAATTTTTAAAGAATTTTTCAATTTTTTTTACTTAAGCTAAGAGTCAGTTAGATGGAGAAGGTATTTGAGGATAGAGCAGATAAGAACTAAAACTAAGACCATCGGTGAACGCTCCTTCTGCTTCCATGGGCCCACGTTCTGGAACCAGCTCCCCTTCCATATACGTCATAGTGAAACCTCGTCCATTTTCAAAAAGTCCCTTAAAACTCATCTGTTTAGGTCCGCCTATGACCTGTGATGCACCCTCCTTGCCCTACCTCATTTTCTGTTTCGGGTTGATCCTGAAGTGTCAAAGTGTCCTCGTTTTATAGCCATTTTCATTGTTTCTATAGAATAGTAGTTACTATCCTAGTGTCTCATTTGTATTTACTTAGTTTACATGTTTTAATAATTGTAAAGCGCTTAGAGCTTTATGATAAGCGCTATATAAAAATGCCTAAATAAATAAATAAATAAATAAGTTTATTGAGAATGGTCATTTTATGTTACTTTAGGCTTCTATTTCTTGTAGTCCATAGAAATGGAAGAGTGCATTTATTGTTATGCTGATTTCAATCTTAAAAAATGGAAATGATTTCATGTTTTCAGGAAAGTGAGCGTCGGGCATACAATCCTAAGAGTTTCTGTAAAACATACACCATGGACAGATGTCCTCTAAACACAGGAGAACAAAAAGACATGCAGGAATTTTTTACTGATATTATTACTAAACTAGAGGAAACTTCCCTTGATATGGTTTGTTTCTCATCACTTTTTAACCACAGCCTTATTAGACTTAAAATTGGTTCAAGTTTTGAACGATAAGTTGATTAAACAAAATAAGTTATAAATGTATTTTAATTGAATGTTCTAATTTAGCTAAATATGGCTGGCCAAATTTATTCTATTTGAATATTTCACTCAGAAAACTGTGATAAAGGAGATGTTTGGAGGAGAAACTACGAACAATGTTGTGTCATTGGTAAGTCCCTTTGAACCATTCCCTATTGTTGTTGGCAGTGCTGTTTTTGTTACCAAAAGCCACCACTGTTTTTCAGATTTAAGTTGCAAAAGGATAGTTATTCAATTTCAAAGCTTTCAATCGTTCTCTATTTAGATGAAATACAAATGGAATAAATTCAAAATGAGATATTGTGTTGCTATTTTATTTAGGATTGCAACCATGTGAGTCGGACATTTGAGGAGTTCTACACTGTGCGCTGTGGTGTTGCCCATATGAAGGACCTTTATGTGAGTGATATATCATAATTTGTGAAGTTCTTCCTTAAGTTGCACTTGATTGACCATCTTTTAATTAATTATTAAAGATTTTATAAAACAGAAATATTTTGTTTATATATATATATATATATTAAATAAATTCTTGTTCATGATAATTAAGATAGTTGCTCAGTTTGCATCAAGAACAAAAAAATTTTCGTTATAAAGTAATGTTTAAATGTGTAAATTTAAGTGTTATTATTCAAAAGAAATACACACAAAAAAACTATTACGTAATCCTTATACCAGAATGTTTGTTTGTTTTGTTAGGAATCTTTGGATGAAGTCACAGTGAAAGACATGTTAGAAGGAGATAATATGTATACCTGCTCACACTGCCACAAGAAAGTCAGGGCAGAGAAAAGGTGCTCTTTCATTTCTGTTAATATTTTAATGACATTTTTAATTTGAAAGAATTTTGAAATGTCCAAGTATGTCCAAGTATCAAAAAAAAACCCTTGGTGGATTAAATAGATGTTGCAGAGCTGACATCAAATTATTTACTTATTATTTTTAATAATTTAATTTGTTGATGTCACAAATGAGTAAAAAAAAAAAATCAAAGATAGGTTGAAATTTTAAGAATGGCTTAAGCAATTTAAAGACTTTTTAATGACAGCCTAAAAATAGTTAAGTTGGCATTTAATCTTCGTTTTCAGGACCTGTTTCCGTAAGTTACCACAGATCTTGTGTTTTAACACTCTCCGCTACTCCTTCAACATGCTCACTATGATGAAAGAGAAAGTCAATACACATTTCTCATTTCCTGATACACTGGACATGTCTCGTTACATGGAGCACAATCTCATTGGGAAAGATAAAATCAAAGGTAGAGATTTTAATTCTGCCACTTTTAGGTCTATAGAATGTTGACACTTTTAAATTATCAACTCTGAAGCCTTTCAGAAGCACTGTCATATCCGGTAACATTCACTAAAACAGTGACTTTTTCCAGTGTTTCTATTTTAATATCAGACATAAAATGGTAAATTGAGTGGCACCACATAACTTAAAATGTTTGATTAAACTTGCTCCCCATGACTTTGTCCTCAGATGTGGAGGGAGAAGGAACATCCCAGGAAGATGAATCATTTGAGTACAAGCTGATTGGTGTTACAGTCCATGTGGGCAGTGCTGAGGGGGGACATTACTACAATCTTATCAAAGATACTCAGACCGACAAATGGTACTACTTCATTCGCAACTTAAATTAAAAAAATAATGCAGTGCTTATCGAAAAAATTGTTTGAACATATTGCTTGCATGCTTTTGTTAAATTTGCATCCATTTACAGTCAATGACAAATATAGTTTTGCCCTCTCTAATTTTATCAGCTAACACACTTGTAACATTACTGACACCTTATAGTGTGATGTGAAATGGCATTTCTTCACCACTTTCCAGGTATCACTTCAATGATGCTGATGTAAAGCCATTTGATGCTAGTAACATTCCCCATGAAGCATTTGGTGGAGAGATGAATGTGAGTTCAAATATTGATCCTTTCAATGCCCACAGCTTCTTAGGAGTTGATAAATTGTATTTTTAATTTTTAAAATTTCTCATTTATTATTGTCGTGAACTTTTCAGGGTAAGACTTACGACACTGTTTCTGAGAAATATCTGGATTTCCCCATTGAGAAGGTATGAATAAAAATGTTATTAAGAAAAGTTGTGCAATAATTTTCAACTTTATATCAGTAATATTAAATTTCTGGTAAAATTTTGTGTGCCGTAACTTCATTCTATACATTTTTATCAGTTTCAACAAAGAAATAATGGACACCCCATCATCAAAGGAAACTAATCGCCATTTATAACAACAAAATAAATACCACAGAACAAATTATTACCACTCTCATTACCCTCATTAATGTTTCAGACCAACAGTGCCTACATGCTTTTCTACCAAAGAGTGTCACCAAGGCAACCTGAAGTGAAGGAGGACTACAACTTTGAGCTCAATCCAGATCTGGCTACTGTAAGCCATCTTTTATACTTGTTCAGCTACTGCATTAAAAAATTAATACTTTTTATTACTTTAAAAGAGTTTAATTGAAAAAAATTAGAACAAAGTACTTAAACTTGATATGTTGAACAAACCATAGTTGTGTTAAATATAACTTAAAGTGTAAAATGTTTTCAGTGGATTTGGAATGACAACACCCAATTTCTCAAAGACCGAAGTATTTTTGATCGTATGTACTTTGAGTAAGTACTTTTAACACCATAAAATTTAACATGGCTTTAAGTAATTAATGTTGAAACTTTTAAATCTACGGGCTAACCATGCTGGCTATTTTTTCATGATATTTTGGGGCATCTGGTTTAACATCACATATTGATGTGTGGTAATTCCTGAGAACATATCCGCTTATTTCAAGTGCAAAAAATTAATTAAACTCTCTTTTCAGTCACATTTGGCAGATGTGTTCCCATATACCTGGCACACTACACATTGATGACACAGAGAGAGCCAATCATAAAGCAGTGATTTTAGCTTCTTGTTTCTTCCTGGAGTCTTTCATTCATGCAAAAGAAAAGGTGAGTAGTTTCCTTTAAGCAAAGATTATTCCTCTTAAAGAAAAAAACATTCAGTGATATCCAAGTGAAAAGAAGAAAGGATATATTTTTTCAAACCAGTTTTATGGCAATCATGAAAAACTATCAAGATATCTTTTCAATGTTAGTTAATGATGATCAAATTCTTCTCATTAGAAATCCATGCCCAACTGGATTGACTACCTAATGAAGAAATTCAGCAGTTGTTTGGGACCATGTGAGGTAAGCTTCGTAACATTATGTCAACAATTGAATAGCACATGTATATGTAGTTCCCAAAGGTATTTGTAGTGAGAGAGGCAAATCATTCGGGTAAGGTATTTAAGACTAAAAAAAATTTCTTTTACTTTTAAGAAAATATTTGTTTTTTATAATGCTGATAGAATCAACGAGCTCCATCAAAGATTGCCATTTAACACTTTGGTTTCTTTCAGTGGCTGCTGGACCACATGGCTGAAGATGATTGGTGGATACAACACATCTTGATCAAGTGTCCCAACAATATGATACGTCAGATGTTTCAACGTCTCCTCATCATGATGATCACTCAGCTGTGCAAGGCATCCAATGAGTACATTGCTCTAGGGTTGGTTGGCTCATCTTTGGATGCAGCAATTTTACTCTTAAGTCTATCAGTACTTTTCATGGGCTGGGAAGCTTCTTATCTACTTAAACTATTTTTTATTGCATTGTTATTTTGTCTCTTTTTATGATCAAAAGGAGCTAGTATTTTAGTAATTCTATGTGTTATAGTACTAAAAAACAGATCAGATGTTGATATAGTTAATACAATTTTGTTTGAGGATAAATAAAACTTATTATCAACTGGTTACATTTCACGAACTAACTCATTGCTTTCATGAATATTATATTTCATGTGAATAAATTTGAAAAAAATTTGATGTAAGTTATTCTTCAAAATTTATAAATTAACTAAAAGAATTAACAGCTGACCTGACTTTTTATTTAATTCATATTACTATTACCAATTGCTTGCATTAAAAAGTTAGAATTTAATATTTCTCCCTATCCCAGCAGTGAAATGGACACATCTGAATTATGTGGTCACAGTTGCCTGACCAGGTTCATCACCAAGTTATTGTCAAATGTAAGTTAGAAAACCCTGAGTTAATTTTGATGGAGTACTTCATATACTTACCTTTAGACTTTGTATGTAACCATAGTTTCACTTAATCTATTGTTCTTTAAAGGCAATGCATTTTTTAATGACACAAGTTTCAGTAACTACAAATTTATATAGTTAATTTAACATGAAAATAATTTATCCTATATAAATATCTTAAATTTCAACATTTGTATGTTATTCAAATCTGGTGTATTTTATTTCTCTGTAGCTTGAGTGTGGTATGCGCCCAACTAACAAATATCTAACCGAGTACTTCACATTCCTCTTTGAGTTTGCCAAATTACAAGACACAAATGCAGACTTCCCATCAGCCTCTTTCCTCAATGCTATCAACACCATAAGTATGGTGGTTAGATTCTACATGGGAAGTAAATCAGCTCAGCCTGATTATGTAAGTTATTACTTTCAATTAAATTGTGTGCTTTCAATATAAAATAGAACTACTACTATAATTTGATTATTTAATAGTTTACTTTTTAAATGGAACCTAATTTAAATCTCATCAGACAACATATTATATTGGGAAAAGCTTTTTGATTTGATTTCAACTGACTTTGTAATTGTGTGGAATTTAAAAAAAAAATTTGCTCTACTTTATTGCACTTTTTTTTTTCAAAGGTTGAAATCCTTTCTGATGAGGAGGATGATGAAGAAGTTCTTGTCATGTCCCCTGATGAAACCCGTCCAACAGCTCTGAACAAAATGATCTCATTAATTGCGTTCTTAGTGGAGACATCGCACGATGGCCACATTTTACAGCTCAGTGAATCAGATATGAGCTATTTGATTAGAGGAAGGGTAAGTATTGTACATTTGTAATGAATTCATATCTATAGTATTTTTGTTTTAAATCTGTGGTCTGAAAAAAGGCTGAGTGATCCTGTGATACCTCAAATGAGCTTGATCTAATCTAACACTTCAACTACATGAGTTGAAGTATGGGGGGAAACATCCCTTCAGGCAATGTTTGATTTAGTGTGACTTTAATTTTATTCTTAAAACATTGAGATGGAACGAGATATGAGCATTTTATTAGGTGCAAAAGTAGTCACTTAATCAATTTTTTGTTTTTTAAAAAAAATTTAGAGCGGTCTTTTTAAGTATGTGAGGAGTTATATATTGAAGCTATATATATAATAGTCTGTTGTACTTATAAAACTATATAACTTATTTATATCACTGCAGACTCCCTCACCAAATATTATTGAAGTAATAAAAATATACTTAACTTCAGCATTGCTTTATCTGCAGGGTCATCCATTCTTGATGTATCAAGTTCGAGACAACATCAACATTGAGCATACCTGTAACCTCATAGTCAGCCTGTCTATGTTTAATGAGCCTCTTGCAGTTTCAGTAAGTCTGTAAAAAAAATTGTCTCATTAAAGTCTATCGTATTTCTTTTTACAGATGTTTTTTTCGACCCATTATTTACAAATTTGATCTTGTCTGAAGCAGCAGTTTTTGCTCATTGTTGGTATTATTCTCTACACAGATTGTTTCAGCTATTTTCAACAACATAAAGAAATTAGGCGATGTAAGTAACATTAATTATAAAAGTGTTTTAATGCATACAAAATATGTAGTAACAATTTTCTTAGCTCATCGGTAAAAACCAATTTTAGAAGACTAAATATTTATTAAAAAATTGATTATCAATAAAAACCAATTTTAGAAGACTAAAAGGCATAGAAGGTTCATTGAAATGGCAACAATAATAAATCATTAAAAATCATGGCATAACTATTTTATGCAGCTGGCCAAGCCATTTTTTGACCTACTGACCCATCTGACTGAGTATTCCGGTCGTATGCCAGGCTACCCACCTTTCACACAGCTCATTGTTTCCAGACTCTGGGAGGTAAGTTTCTAGATTTGTCACAAAATAAGGTGATTAATTTTTTTCATTGTTTTCAGTTATGATGTGTGCATACTACTTTACCGCATTTAAAACCTACAACACTTGAGATGACAAAATATCCATTAATCTAAAATAAATCTAATTATTTGTTTTAATTTAATAAACTCATATAATAAAAATGACTCTCTGTAGTTAGTGAGTTATGGTACTTTATTTCCCAGATTTATTTCATGCATTTGTACATTATTAAAATTTGAAATGTCCCTTTTTTTGTACATGTTCATTTGCAAAATCAATGAGCCACAACTGCCTCCAACTTGACCCATTTTGTGGATGCCCAGGGACATTGTCTTTGATGTTTACCTTAGGTAGCCAATCAAAGTATGGAATTATTCACATTTTTCTGCAGCTTACTAAAGTGACACCCAGACAGTGCTTAGAATGGTTGACCCATAAGGTTACTCACAACCGTCTGGCCAGGCAGTGGACTTTGGACTGTATGGATGGTTGGGTGGAAGTCTACATGGTTGCCTACAATAGTAATCTTGTCAGAATGGGTAAGTGGGAAAACTACAAGATCTATTAATACATTTCTTGTCAGTTTTGTACTGTGAGAATTAAAAAAATAATTTCTTTTTAAACAATTATTTTTTTGGCTTCTTATTTCCTCTATATAATTGTGTACAAAACTATTTTGAAAATTGTAAAGCATAATTTTATATTTTCTTATCAATTTATATAACCAATTTTTAGTCTAATTGATTTTTAATAGATTTAAATTTTTTTAAAAAAGTTTCTTGTAAAAATGTCATTGCAAATTAGAACTAATTTCTTTTATTTTCCTACAGCTAGTGCTCAACTTCTTGTATCTCTTGTGCCAAATGACTTATTCAGGTCAACTTACAGGCCAAGAGTCATCGCCACATGCCCCAGCACGATTATAGTAAGTCACATGACTTGGTCACATGTACATTCATGTTATTTAAATTCATATACTAAGAAACAATTAAATTGGCTTCTAATTCCATTAATGAAATACAAATATGTATATATTTATGCATGCTAAATATAATGAAAAAATGAATTGTATACTTCTGATTAACAACTTGATTCCTTTTTTTCAGTGGGGTAAAGAAGATTTAGCTGTAATGCATAAGGTAAGTCATTAGTTAAGTTTTTTCAATAAGTCATAGCAAAGTGGTTAAATATTGACTCGGTTATACTAGTGGTTACTTTGATATTCTTTTCCATATTCCATGATTGATATAAACTTAAGTGAACTTTACTGACTATCTAATATATTAAAATTCAATGTAACTTTTTATTTTTCAGATCTATCAGCACTTGCTTCTCTTGTTAAAAAGAGCTCACGTTCATATAGGTAAGCTTGGATTTTTGGATCATTTTCACCAAGGTAAAGTTGTTTTTTTAGATGGATTATTAGCCATTAGATAAGTCAGCAGTGATCCACTGATTCTAAGCAAACCATTTTTGTGATCATGTAAGCTAATGTGAAGAAAGATTGTTGTGGAGTTTAATTAACATGAGTGATTTTGTTTCTCTTCAGCTCCATATGACAGTAACCAAGCCAGCATGGTGGGCCCTTCTCATGCCAAACTCATGTCACTCTTTTCTGTTCTCAACTATTGCTTGTATTCTAGGAGGGAGAAACTAATGGTAGGTGAAATTATATAGATACAGTTTCTTCAATTTGATAATTGTCTAGACTGCTGCTTGGGTGCCATCCATTAATTATGTAAAAAAATAGGGGGAGTGTGGGATTGGAAGAAGTTTGAGAGTTGTTTACGATGGGGGAGGGTCAACTGAAATTTAAACATTTTTTTCTTTTAAATAATTAAACATATAAAGCATTAATTACCATAATTTGTTTTACTAATTTTAACCCTATACGGGGCAGAGGTACTTCCTCTTGCATGTCCTAAACGGGCATCACTTTTCCGTTTTTAGTAAGATTTAGGGTGACTTTACAAAAAAATCAAATCTAAGGTGTTAGTCAACAAATTTGTGTGGAAATAAAAAGCAAAATAAAGGAAAATGAATGCAGATTTATTATTGTGCTCACATTTTGCCATTAATCCTCCTCATATGAACACAAATATTTGCAAAAATAACATATTGTTTGTGATTGTGAGTCATCTATTCACTATTGACAAACACTGCCACAAAATCGAAGTTTGTCAAATTCAACATTCTTACTACACTGATTTCACTAATATTACTAATAATATTAATATCTAGTTCCAATTTACAGTCAGTTCGTGCACTTAAATGTCACTTAAATTGAATCCAGCGAAATCTCCGCTATCTCTTGAATATTAGGCAAATAATCGGCAAAATCCATTTCGAAAATTTTTTTTTTTAAACCCCTAAAAAAAAAAAAAAATCGATTAAATACTTGTAACTGGCGCCTGCTCTATTTAGCTATCGGAAAAACCGGATGTAAACAATAGGAAGTCTCCCAAAGCCTCGGAGGTCATGAGAAAACAACACTATGTCGTCACGGACGCTTTTGGGCGTTTTGCCCTTTAAGTGGTAAAGACATTTTCGGCCGCTCTACCCCGTAAAGGGTTAATGGCTATATTAGCACTGATGATGCATAGAAATGACCACCTGCTTCTAAAAAAGGAGAAAAATGATGTGGCCCATTTGAGTGTTTGCCAAATGAAAGATATAGATTACAGCAATTATTGAACAAAGAGAAAATGCTGATATTTTAAGTCCTGAATGGTTGGACTAGACAAGTATGATGTCAGACAGTTCCATAATGATATTAAAGTAGAAATTATAAAATCAAATGCTATGCTCTATTGCGAAAAAGGAAATGCATATGTTATAATAAATACTACATTCAAAGTTTTGAGACAATGTAGGGTTCTATGTAATCGCTTTTAATTTTTCATATTTAAGTCCAGTGTTTTAAAAAAAAAAAATGCTTAAATGAAGTCAGTACAAATTGAAAGTGTGTTATTTAGACAATGTCTTTGTATTTTATGCTAGAATAGTGACATTTCTAAATGTGAATGTTTCAGTTTACTCCATACTTTATGGATCTCTGGCAACTGTTCCATCCCTTCATGTTGGAGCCACAAGTCCCCCTCAACCACAACAAACAGGTCATTTCATGTTACTCAATGTCCCTTGTAAACTAATGGTTCAATTGTTTTGGGCTTTACTTCATTGATCTGGCTTTTACTTTCTAATATCTCTTGCTCATTATTCTATGCATTATTTAACCCTGTAACTGTTGATCTGCCATAATACCCCTTTATGTGCTGTCAAGGCTGATATAATCATCCACTAGCAATATCGTAATTAAAAATGGGAATGATTTAATGTATGTTGTTTAAGGGGAAAATGACTCTCTAGAAATGAATTTTCTTCTTATTTCTGTCTCTTCATCTATGTGTCAACATGCTTTGATCAGGGCTTGTTTTGAGATTAATCAGGAGGGAAATTTGCTCAATTTTTTTTATTTGACTGCCATTTTATCTGATGCTGGAGTGGGTCCCCCTTTAGATAGCAAAATCAACACAGACTATCATTAATGGAATTATTTCAAATGGAATAAAATGAAACAATAATTCCAGAGATATTCCACGTTCTAGTAATGATAGTATAAGCTCTAGCAGTGATGGCAACATATGAGTCAGCAATTGACTAAGCTGACTAGAATTTTTAAAGACAAATTCTTGTGGGAAATGGTGAAGATTGAACTGAAATGACAAAGATTGGATCCCAAAGACTGAACTGAAATGACAAAGATTGGATGCCAAAGATTGAACTGAAATGACAAAGATTGGATCCCAAAGACTGAACTGAAATGACAAAGATTGGAACCCAAAGATTGAACTGAAATGACAAAGATTGGAACCCAAAGACTGAACTGAGATGACAAAGATTGGATCCCAAAGATTGAACTGAAATAACAAAGATTGAACTGAAATGACAAAGATTGGAACCAAAAGATTGAACTGAAATGACAAAGATTGGATCCCAAAGATTGAACTGAAATGACAAAGATTGGAACCCAAAGATTGAACTGAAATGACAAAGATTGGAACCCAAAGATTGAACTGAAATGACAAAGATTGGATCCCAAAGATTGAACTGAAATGACAAAGATTGGAACCCAAAGACTGAACTGAAATGACAAAGATTGGATCCCAAAGATTGAACTGAAATAACAAAGATTGAACTGAAATGACAAAGATTGGAACCAAAAGATTGAACTGAAATGACAAAGATTGGAACCCAAAGATTGAACTGAAATGACAAAGATTGGATCCCAAAGATTGAACTGAAATGACAAAGATTGGATCCCAAAGATTGAACTGAAATGACAAAGATTGGATCCCAAAGATTGAACTGAAATGACAAAGATTGGATCCCAAAGATTGAACTGAAATGACAAAGATTGGATCCCAAAGACGGAACTGAAATGACAAAGATTGGAACCCAAAGACGGAACTGAAATGACAAAGATTGGATCCCAAAGACTGAACTGAAATGACAAAGATTGGATCCCAAAGATTGAACTGAAATGACAAAGATTGGATCCCAAAGACGGAACTGAAATGACAAAGATTGGAACCCAAAGACGGAACTGAAATGACAAAGATTGGATCCCAAAGACTGAACTGAAATGACAAAGATTGGATCCCAAAGACTGAACTGAAATGACAAAGATTGGAACCCAAAGACAAAGACCTTTATGTCTGTGTATCTTCTGAAGTATTAATTATTTTTAAAAATAGATTGAATAACTTCAATTGAAATGGAATTTTGAATTCATTTCATGCTTTCCCCCTTTTATTATGTTTAAAATAAATTTGAAGGTATTCAATGAAAAAATTTAACAAAATTACTTTTTTCAAATTAAGTCCTACAACTTTCTGAAAGGATATTTCCTCAAGAATCTAAAAAGCTGATATTATAATAAATAAAACAATTTTACTCACTCTGTAAAAGGTATTTTCCATATCAACACACATAATAAAAAAAATTTCATACCATAAGATACCTTGTCTAATGTACTTTCAGAAAATGTATACTTGTAAGGGTCTCTGAATTCAATTAGTATGCAATTTTGTCATTTTTGACAAGCATATGAACATGCTAAAAAATGGCTTGATGCCACAGCAAAATGCACTTGACAGTTAGAGGGTTAAAATCGAAGTACTTTGAAACAAATATATGGAATTTACATTTAACAAGTCGTGAACTTCTTTGAATTCAGATTTCATGTATTTTATTCTGCTTTCTCTCAATCTGTTATTCTGTAAAACTACATTGTGCCTATTTTGCCCACAGGCCCTATTAATGTTTTGGTATAATGTGAGCCAAGATTGCCCAGAAAATCTGCAGCAGATGGTCTCTAACCCACATGTGTGCAAGAACATTGCTTTCAACTACATCCTGTAAGGCTTTAGCATTGGAAGTCATATCATTATTTGATGTCCATTGGACAAATCAACCCTCTAAAATGGCATTTATTGTACATTAAAACATTATTTCATGTGGTTACAGAATAACAACACACATTTAGTAAAGCTTAATTTGACTCATCACAGACAACCCTAACTTTTTTCAGAAAAAGAACAATAACTAAACATTGTATTTTATTTTATTCCGTTTCCTAAATGTGGCTATATCTTTATCATTTTTATTTTAGGGCTGATCATGATGATGAACAAAACATTTTATTTAATCGAGGCATGTTGCCAGCCTATTATGGTCTGTTGAGGATGGCCTGCGAATATTCAAATCAGTTTATGAGGTCTCTGGCTAACCACCAAAATTTGCAGTGGGCTTTCAAAAATATACTACCATATCCACATCAATATGTACAGGTAAGTGCTGTGATCCAAAACTTCTGTGGAAAGCATGTTATCTTTGAGCAAAGTATTGAGAAGATTTTATCATTAAACAAAGTATTATATTATGTCATCTCTGTTGATCACATTAGTGATTATGGTATAATCAGGATGTTAACTCCTGTAGGCAACTGAAGAGCTAATGTGCATGATGAAGATGATGGCAGAGAGGAAAAGAGAGCATTCCACTGAGGAGGCAGCAGCTGTTGAGACTTTCCGCAAAAATACATTAATGATGTGCACACAAGGACTGGACCCCAGGGTCATGTGGCAGACACTTTGCTCGTATGTCAATTAAATTATTTTATATCTGGATTGTTGCCAATGTGTTAGTTGGGGCCATAAAGAGCCAGTGTATGGATTAGTATTAGTGCATGGATTGTGATTTAGTGAAAGGGAATTTGATAAATGCACCACCCATGGTTTCAAATGAATTCCATTCATGTAATTTTATATGTCTTGGGATAAACTTTGTTAGTAGAGGATTTTTATGCTATGTTCTAAAATCTCAGTGTCTGTTTATTTCTGTGATATGTTGTTAGGGGATCCATTTCTTTTTATCATATTCCTTCTGTGCCTTACACATCTTTAATCTATTTTAATATCCAATAACTTTATTCTCCAACTTTTTTTTTCTTCAGAATTTTCCAAATTCTTGTAGTCACTCCAGAGGATTACATGAATTTGTTGTTTCAAAATGGCCTCTCAGTACTCAGTCAGGTACAATCATTCATGTGTTTTTGGTAATAGTTTTATGAATCTTATTTATGACTTTGGTTTCATTAGATATTGTGCTGGCCTGAGGGGGGTCCTATCAGGATATGTAAGAATTGGAATATTTCCACATATTCTATATTTTCCACAAGAAATTTTTCCAAATGCTGTTAAAAATTTATTTTGCCTGAAATCTCATTGGCTATCTTACTTGACATTTTTGACAGAATGGTTTAAACAGGGTCTAAAATTATGAGGAAATGAGTATGAAATTGTCTAATTTATTTTGTGTTTGAGTTTTTTTTTAATAACAGATAACACTCTATTCTATTGATCTCATCAAGAGTAATAAACATTTTCATTGATGAGATAAAAGATAATATTTAAAGGTCCCTTCTCTGTGCCTCTAACAATAACAATGATGGATTGTTTGAAAATGTTCCAGTCATTTGCCATTATCTACACAATGTTCCATGAAGCCACAGCCTGCCACATGACTGGAGATCTCATAGATGTGCTTCAACTCATCAATGCTCTCTTAGTGGCAGCCAAGGATGGGGAGAGGAAAGGTACAACTTCTAGCTGCTACATCACCAGGATAATATGGTGTCTTGTCATTCTTGGAATCTTTTTATTTTTACAACTTTGATGATAAAATAGAAAACTAGAGGTCTATACTTTTATGGAACAAATGATATCTATAAAAACGTTTGTATTTTATTTCTCCCAGCTGAAATACGCACTATGGTCATTCAATGGAAGGAGAGGAATGATGTTGCCAAGAAACTTTTAACCTTGCTAAATTCATTTGTGCCAAATAACCTCAGGAGCATTGCATTAGGTAAAAATTGCTATATAAACTAATTGATTAAATCCACCACCAGCCCACAAATAGTTCCTAAAGAGTTTTATTACTATCATTATAATAACTTTAAAAGAAAAATCAACTTAATGACCACGTTTTCTTTATTTGGTTCTAACAGAAGTACTGCACAAAATGGTTCTTGTTATACAAAAGGACATTACTCAGTTCCTGACAACCACTTTACTCAGTGCACACAGCACTTTCCAGAATTCAAACTCTGCCAGTAAGTTGTTTTTTAAATTTAAATATATTTGTTGTTATGGATATGTAATAGGTTGTATTCATGAAGAATACCAACGGATCACATGATTTTTTCAAATTTACTTTTAACCTTTTAACTCATGTCATTCATAAAAGAACAATTAGGTCAAGACATACATCTATATTAATGAACCATGATGCTTCACAGTTTAAGTCATGTGTCTTTGTTAAGCTAAAACAGCTCAAGTCATATTTTTCTATGTTGTGTTACAATTTCCTATAAATTGCATGTATTACTTATGGATCATTGTGTCTTCTCCAGTGAGTGTCGGTCCCTTCTTTCCAACACGCTCTTATCAAGGCTTGGCCAACAAGGCCAACGTAAGACCATCCCGTCCACAGTTTCAGATGTACTTGCACGCTGGTCAAGTAGAAGTCAGCAAGGTGAATGCACACCTTTATTTCTGATTTATTCTAATTAGCTGGAATAACAAAAAATAAAACTGTTCCCTGAGTTAAATAAGGAGAATTTAAACCAATCTATAATTTAGCTAATATAGCTGTAGTAGAATATCACATTGCTGTGAGATACATTTCTTATATATATATATATATAATCCACTCTTAGTTGACTGCACCCCCATGGCAGAATTTTGCTGACTTGGGCTTAAAGTCACATTTAGCTACTTTTTATTTGTTACACTGAATTTTAGTAAGGTATTGTAACCATACACATATTAAATTGAACAAATGGTTCATGATTAGTTATCTTATCTTAACTTTTAATTTTAACTTATTTCAGGGCACTGATGACGATTATGACAAAGCTCTGTGTAACTATTATGAACCTTATCATCGTCTCATTGACAGGATGTGCAGAATGGCCATTAATCATAAGATACTCAATGCTGATCTCATTAATTTGTGTATGTCTCAGCTATATGTACTTCAATGTACTTTTTAAAATTGTTAGATTACCTGCAAATTTCGTTTCATTAAAATTGTTTAGACTTAGTTCGGTATCCAGACTTTTAGCATGAATTTACAAATATATTAGTTCTTAGTCCTAAAAGAATCTTTTTGTTTTATCCAACAGATGCTATGGTTGCATATGAGGGTGTTCCTCTTCATCTGCCATATTTTGCCAAAATGTGGAATGAAATCATTGAAACCTCTCAGGTATGTTTCTGCATAACCAAATAATTTGATATATTTTGAGTTACTTTTAAAGAGATTTCCTATCAATAATTTTAAAATGTTCAAAGCACCAGCACTACATCCATTTAAGTTTTAAAAAGTAAGTAAAGAAAATTTTTTCTTCTAAAATCAATGTTTTCTTCTAAAATCAATGTTTCAACCCAAAATAAATAACTTCTCTTGGCTTTGTGAATTGAAATACACCTTGTATTATTTGTTCTGTCTATAGACTGCAGATCCAGATCATACACTTGTAAATACCCTGTGCAAGTGCAATTCTTTTATTGACTACATTGAAACAGTTTTGATGGATGAACGAAGATCTCTCAATAATGACCACATATATATGTTCTTTCGCAACTTTTTTCCCAAGGCAAGTGTAACCAAGTAGCCAGATTTTTGCAATCTCACTGTTCAAAATTTCTTAACAAAATTTTCTTCTTTTTTTCTTTTTTAGTGGGATTGTCCTATAGAGTTACCATATTTTAAAAAATGACTTTAACATCTTGTATTCTTTAATTATTTTACTGTGAACTTAAAACTAAGACATTATCCAACACAAGCTGAAATACAGTGCATGGCTAACAGTTTGATTACTTACTCAGGTCCATGAGCACATCATAGCCGATGGAGGACAAAACATTATTATTAACTTGGTGGCATCGATCATGGCAGAGGCTGATTCACTCAAGAAAAACCAATCTGAGAAAGATGTCATGCCAGTGCTCAACAGACTTTTAGGGGTTAGTTACTTTTAAGAAAACCTCTCTTATTTTTTGTTCAATCACAAGCGGAAGTAAGATTTTTTTTTTTTCATTTCCAGAATTTGTTTGCTATAATTTTAAATTATAACAAGTTATTCATTATAATTAAAAAAATATTTTTTGCAATCATATTTTCAAATAGATACTAGTTTAAAAAAAATAAAGTTTTAATTTTAATGGCATTATTGACTTTGTGTTTAGCCCGTGTTTCTTCATTTAAAATTATTATTTTTACTTATGTCCCTTTGATCTATTCTATTTTATATAATTTTAAATGATTTTGTTTTTTTAAAAAGGAACTGAGAGCACTACAGCTCATTCTCACCGTCCATCCAGAACAGCATCCAAGCGAGTTCCTCCCCAAGGCTATCAAATCAATCATTCGCCTCTGTCGCTCACATCAACAGCAGCGTGCAGATATCTTAGCCGCAGCTCAGGCACGAGCAGATGCCGAAACTGCTCGAAGAGAGCGGGAAGAGAGAAAAAGGAGAGATGAAGCTGAGAAAAAGAAGCAGCAAGAAGAAGAGGGAATGGAGGTGAGGAGTTTTGATGAAGACAACACAAACTTGGTAACAAGGAGGAGAAAATCATCTAGTCCTCATGCCCATCCAATCACAGGTAAGAAAATGGCATTTGTCAATTTGGATTTTTGACAAGTATTTGTAAAGATTAACACAAATAATATAAGAGATTTTTTATATTTAATACTTTAGAATTAAAATTATCGTTTGTTATATCTATCTCTTGTACTGGTCAACCCTGAATCCCTGTGACATGGTGTCCATTGTCCTCTGGGATGGGAAGGTTTGTAAAAAAAAGATCCACCCACCCCATTCACTAAAGGCAAAGGAACACTTTCAGCAGCATTTCCCCATAAGGTTTAATATTGAAAATGATAAGTAAAATAGAGTTGATATAATGCTAAACTTTTGTATTTAAAGTTATACAATTCTGAGTGTGTTCATTTATGTAAAGAAGGTTTATTTTCATGAGAGAGAGGATCTTAATTAATTACCTCAGATCAAAACTTTATTTTCATAAGTTACTGGTAATTCTGTAGTCTCTTGCTATTGAAATATTAATTTTAAAATATGACTAAAAAAACTGATTCTGATTTTTAAAATTTTTAATGATGTAAGTCTAGGTAATTTTTATCAAAGTAATTTATTTTGTTCTAATATATTTTGGAGGAAGGGTAAATATTATTTTTTTCATACAGAAACATAAACTATTTATGTTCCGGTAATGATTTTTAAGAGGGGAAAATTTATATTTTTTTTGTGGCATTTCTATCTATTTCTATCAGAATGGTTGCATTATTAATCACATCTATCTCATTTAAACCCATTTGAGTAAATGTAATAATTTATCTTTAGGTGAACAAATCAAGAAAAGGAGACCAAATGGAAGTGAAGGAACAGATGATGATGATAAAGTTTGCTCCTCATCCAACAATATAGCTCCACAGTCACTAACTGACAAAGTATGTTTACCAACAGCAAAAGAGGGAACCCAAAAGGCAACAGATGACAAAACATCTGAAGCTGATCCTAAAGAAAAAGGCAGCAATGAACTTTTCAAAGATGAGTCTCAAAGTGAATCAAAATCTGATATTTCTCTACCATTGTCATCACCGCCATCACCCAAAAATCTAGTCAAAACCACTGCCAATAAAAGCAGCAGTTTGATAGCCACAGGACGACCTGTCTCACCACAGCCGTGTACATCATCCTCTCTAGAACCAGAAGATGGATCTTGTAACAAAGATCCCTCAGGTGAGTCCAGCTCACGAAGAGAAGCGGCAGTTCCCACTTTGGAAGTTACGTCCAGCTCGGAGAACCACACTGAGGATTTGAATCAACCATCAACAAGCTCTGAGAAGTTACCAGGTGATTCTGGTAGACCAGCTCAGTGCAGTTCAAGAATACAACCTACTTACAGACAAAGTTTAGGTGCCCTGTCAGTCCACAGAACTGCCTCAAGTGAAGGTTTGGCCCCTTGCATCAGATCACAAGGAGCTGACATCTATGAAAAGGTTGTGAAAAGTGCAGATGCTGTGATGGTTCTTCTAAATCATCTCCATCAATGTAACTGAATGGTTGAGACCATTATTTTAGAAACATTTGTACACTCGTATAAAAAGAACTGTTGTCCAGATTCTTTAGTTTATTTTATTATTTATATTGTATGTTATATGTCGTAATGCCTTGATTTTAATCTTATTCAAATGCTAAAAGGAATTGTTTGAAATGTTTCATTTTATTTGGCTGAAATTTAATTTTTACTGCCTCATAATTTAATATGCATACAAATTATTTTAATATTTAGGAAAGTCTTTTCACAATTCATACAAAGCAAGAAAATGAGATAAAGAGAATAAAAATTCCTTAGTCTAGGCTGCATTGAAATTTAACAATTGAAGTTAAATATTATTGGTGTTATTAACTATACCGGTACACATAGACAGTTTGGTAATGTCAAAAGCATTCATGCACTTTAACCACTAAATTGTAATATTTAGAATTGGTCATGTAGCATGTGTTTGATAGTTGTAATTGGTGCCTTATGTTTCAGTTTGAATGTCAATTTCATTGTCAAAAGGCATGTTTTCACAACTTACAATTTGGTGTCATGATTGATGGAAGAATTTGTTCCCACTTATTTATAAATGTTGTGACTAGAAATGTAAGTTGTACTTTTCACTCTTGTCCCTAACCTTATCAGCATTCATTGTCATATCATATTTTGCCATGCATTAACAGACAAGGGGGGAAAATGAAGTTATCCATTTGAAATTGGTGTTAAATTAAAGGAGAATGTACATATATTCTGTATAAATGTATATAACGTTATTTTAATAATTTTACTTTAAAAAAATAGCAAGCAGTCACTAAACCTCGGGACCATGATCTCGTAAGACATCCTAATTGTGAAGAGATTCAAATCTCAAATGATGAGGTTGCACCATACTTGTAATAACACAATGATTGATTCACATTTAAACAGCACTGTTATAATTGAGATATCCAGCAGCAGATGTGTGGACATAAAATGGGAACTTTCATTAATTTACATGCATTTAATTTTTGTTTCTATTTGGATTATAAGATCTGTTCCCTGATCCTTGATGCAAGTTTAGATTGTGAACATTTTGTTCAAATTAATGCTGTTTAATAAACTGATTGAATTTCTTTATCTGTTATATATTTTTATTTTGAATTTCTTTATTTGTTATATATATTTCTCTAAAGTCTGTTTTAGCCATATATTTTTCATCAAAGTTCATGGCACAATTTCAGCAGAACAAATTAGGATTGGCCTCTTATACTACTACTACTACTTATTCTGTTAACTCTCTCTACCCTGCCTGTAACATTTTGTACTAGGTTTCACATTCAATGATCTTTGTTCATTCTGCCATTCTTCTCTCTATTCCAAAACCAACACCCTTATTCAACCAAAACTCTGATTGGTCTGTTCCCCTAAGTTCCAACACGAAATAATAACCATATTACTTGTCTTCCATTAGTGGTTCACATTCATGTCAGTGACAGGTACATTTTTCTCAGAGCAAAGAGGTCTTACTTGTTAATGAGCAGCAAGTCTGGTTTGTATTCTTGGATATCTAGGAACTGCTATCACAGATTTTATAGTTGCCACCCAATGTTAGTGACCCAGACATTTGAAAAAGGTTTTTTAATAGGCATATATGAATTATTGAAATATAAATTGGATAATGCCTCAAAATCCTTAATTGGCTTTTCATATTTAGAAACAAATTTTTGGGGTTGAAAATACACAAATTTGAGTATGTGCATTACTTACAGATTGATAAAAATTGGCTTAATGCACAAGGCTACTTTGCTTTGTCTATGAAACCTGCAATGCTTGGTCAATACTTTGCTAGGTTACTCTGTTGTGCAAAGACTACACTGTGCAAAACTATTGTAATGCATCAGTTTTCTAGAAGGCTCACTACAGGAAACAGATTTGTTTTAAAAATAAAATTCAACATTATCGTTGGATTCTGCTTCTGCTCAGTATCATCTTAACCTTACTGAGATTCAGGCAATCTGTTTCATAAAGGCTCATGACCTCTTTCACTGCCCAGAAGTCCATGACTTACACAACACTAAACAAACGCTATGCACAAACACAGAACTGCTGCAAACTGCATGGAGAGTGGACATTTTTCATGATGGTCTCAGGCTCGGAGACTTCTGGATTGGGATGATGCAGGTCATTTTAATGTACTTGATGTCCATTCTTAAAGACAATTTAGATATATCCATACAAGAAAACAAATCAGTAAATTTAAAAAAAGACATAGTTTTTATTTCTTTTATTTTCTTGCACTGCAACATTTATTTACAACAAAAAAAAATGAAAAAGAGAAATAACAGCTGTATCCAAAATTTAAATAAGGCTCGACTAAATTTAAGTCCATACATTAGTTAAAACCCTAAACCTAAATGCAGCCTGGATAATTTATAAAATTTGCTTCATGAAATCTGAATCTTGTGAATAAATATCTATAGAAACAGGTTTGCCGTATGGAACGATAGATGGAAAAATTATATAAAATAATATGCCATGATTGTCAAAATATTCTCCCACCAAAACCAAATATCTGTCTCATTCTATTCCAATAATTTTCTCTCCACCCTTCTCTCGTTTTATCTAACTCAGCTCCCGGGATCCCAGATTGCTTCAGATTTAATGTGGTTGTTCCTTCAGTCCCTGTCAGCTCAATTGTTACTTCCGAGTAATGTTCAGGTGGCCAGGATTTAACTCTCCATCTCTGTGTTATTTTCTGGTCAGGTATCTGGTAATCAAAATAATATTGTTACAAAAAATGTTGGAATTTATAAAAAAATAAGATTACAATGCATTGTGTTATAGGGATGTCGAGGGTAAAAGTTTTTATCAAGTAAAAAAAAAAAAAACAAGACGGGTGTTAACTCCTTCAGTTATTTTCTGGTCAGGTATCTGGTAATCAAAATAATATTGTTACAAAAAATGTTGGAATTTATAAAAAAATAAGATTACAATGCATTGTGTTATGGGGATGTCGAGGGTAAAAGTTTTTATCAAGTAAAAAAAAAAAAAACAAGACGGGTGTTAACTCCTTCTCCAGGGTTGCGACTAAATGCAGCTTTTGGGGGTTTCGGTGGATGAGTCCAAATGCGTCCAGGCCCATAGCACCTCTCCCATTTCTATTTAAAAATAACAAAGAAATCTTGCATCATTCTACACTTCCGGCAATGTCGTGTTTTAGCGTGATATCAATTTAAAAAACGAAAGTTTTTATCTTGTTTCACTTTAAAACTACGTGTACTTTAGTACGGTGCGTCTATATATAGCGTGTTCACGTCCGAGATGCCGAAAATCGGTTTTTTGGTCATTGTTGTTTTTTTTTTCACCGCTAATGTTATATTTATATTAAACCTTATTCATTTATGCCTTTGTTCTTAATTCATTAACATTAAGTAATATTTAGCAGCTTAAAAAAATATTTTACAAATGTAAATCAATTGCAAAACCGAGTTACTTCCCTTCCTCAGGCAAATAAATTAAGTACGGAAGTAGCACTGCCATAGGGAATGAGTTAAAGCTAAGGTAACTTACCAATTCCACAAATTCTCCAGTAATATTTCCTCCATACAAAGAAAATTTTTCGCCCTTAACAGGCTCAAATACAATACCACTACCCATATAGGCTTCAACCATCTGAGAAAAAAATTTAAGGCATTCTTTTAATTTGTTGCTATAATTTAAAAAGTATCATTGCCATATACATTTTTAAAAATTATTCTTTTAGTTAGTATTAGTCATCTATAAAAAAACCAAACAAATTTGATCAAATTTACTTATTTGTAAAAATTTTTATATTTATATTACTTCCCTTAGGTATGAAAAATTACTTCCAAAAGCTAAAAATAAGTACCTGCACAAAGTTAAGACATTTAAATAAAATTAAAATACTTTAATCCTAAAAACTAAGAATTGTTTAAAATCTTTTCACTAAAAATACATATAAATAAATGTTTAATGATGAACTCACCGGTTTAAAAGTCAATGCTCTGTACAGATCAGATGCCTGACAGTTGAAAGATTCTGTCATTGTCAGGGTTTTTGTTGGAATTTTGACTCCTATGTCTGCACTTTTACTAGTGTCTGAAGTTATAAATTTGTTCAGTTCTTGTTTGGGTTTATTCTGAAAAGTATACAAAAAAAAAACATTGGGAGCAAAGAACCATGGTCATTTATACAGCTTAAACCTGAAATTTATTTTTTTTAAAGTAAAATTTTACTTAAATGTCAATTAAATTCCATAGCTGTTCATTACCTCTTTATTGTTAATAGATTGTGATGGCTGGAGGCCTTGATTCTGGTCACTATTTTTGGTAGGAAGAATTATATTAGAACCATACTCTGCAGAAAAATATGAGATAATGCTTTATTTTGAAGTACCGTAAATGAATTTTAAAAAAATTTAATAAATAGCTAATAGCAATGATACACTTTTTTGAAGAATAACATTCAATTTCCAAGTTTTAGCCCATTCGTTGAATTTAATAACATGAGAAATCAAATGTGACAAAATAAAAATCAAATTTACTTTTATCTAGTTTCCCATATCACAAAATGAGCATTGAATACCTGTTTTGAGATCCGTTATGTATTTTGCCAACTGAGCTTGTATGCGTTTAGTTCCTTCAGCTTTAAAAATATCTTTTATTTGGTGGGCTTCATTGCAACTTTGGTCAGCAGTAACATTGACCTGAGTAAATAGGATTGTAACAAATAATATGATTTATACCAAAACTAATGGTAATATATCTACTCACAAAATGACACCTTTTAATACCACAATTAAATAATTCATAAATATTAACACATGTAAACACATCTTGCCTATTATAAATGTGGTTGACTGAATTAATTAATTGAAAATAAGTCAAATGAAAATGTTAGCAACTTACATCAATTTCACTAGCATCATTTTCTTCACTAAGATTAGGTATCACAAACTTTCCTTTGTACGATTTAATATCATCTTTTAGCATTCCTGTAAAAAAAAAAGAAAGATTTTAAAATGCTGTCACATTACCTAGGGGAGAGAGAAATATGAATCTTGTAAAAAAAAAAACAACCTCAAATTATGGAATACAATCTGGAATGGTTAAGGCTATCAACTAATATTAAGGCCATGCTTTCTGACTCCAAATGGGGTCATGGAAGGTCTCTGATAGGTTAGCCAGCGTAATCATTTAACAAAAAAAAAAAAAAAATGATTTTGAAAAAGTATACTTAACCTGTGTTTAAATAATGTTAAAATAATTTCATAATATTCTTATTTGAAACATCAATTTTTGATGTGGTTGTTTTCTTTTATAATAATTTTCTTTTATTGCACCAGGATTATGGGTCAGTTTGTGTCAGTAAAATGGAGTTGTGTCAAAAAAATATCCTGTGTTTTAGGGTTTGCCAAAATTTGTTTTAAAAAAGGCACAGCAGAACTGTTATGATCTGGTTCACCTGTGGCTCGTTAGTGAGCTTGGGTGAAATGTTATAATTTGTCCAGAGATTAAGAATAATAAACATGATTTGAATAATTGGTGTGTGACCGTGGGACGAAAGTAGAGTGCGGAGAGAGAAAGAGACTCTTGTAGTGTAGTTGTTGCTCTGTATTCCTTAGTGTTGCTAGTGGACGGTCACTAAAAGTTGGATTTTAGAAGTCAATAACCTTAACAGCAATAAGTAATGCAATCTATTCTACTTACCAGACCATTCTCCTTTAATTTCAAACTCATAAAAAAATATTAGCTTGGCTTTCCGATTATTTGCACTTGCTTCTCCTTCAATGCTATTGATTTCTTTGATTTCACATATACCTGAATATATCAAAATTACATTTTATTATAAAAAAAACAGCATTGACATTGAAAAAGAGTCTTACACAAAAAAGTGTTAATCATGACTTGAAATAAACTATGATCTCTCTGATAAACTTAGCCTAAAACAAATAAAACTGCCAATCATCCTCAACAATAAGCTGACCTATATATAATCTGTGAAAAAATTACAATGTCTTGTTTAACTACCCCCACCACTTAAAAAATAAAATAAAATCACTATGTCATTATTTTGTATGCATTAGGCTATCATTAGGGGTGTGCCGGACCCCGGTCCGGAATCCGGTTCCGCCGGATTTTGCACTATCCGGTGAAATCCGGTTCCGCCGGATTTACATGTATCCGGAACAACCGGATTCCGGAATATACCGGATTTCGGAATTTGCCAGATTTTGTGACTCACCGGATCATAATCTGAAATAAAAGTAATTCTCTTTCCCGAATTTCACACGATCACGATACATTAATCGATTGTTTCGAGCGTTGAGCTTGTTTAATGTTTAATATTCCGTACATACCAGAGGCTAGAGTCAGCACCGCTAATAGTGGCCAATAGTGTAGGGACTTTGATAAGAAAATTTAAACTTTTTGTAAAAATAAACCAATGGCATAGTTGAAAAGATGTAATTTTTTAAAGAATTATAACACCAAAATCATATTTTTAGCTGTTGTAGTTTTAAAGTTATGAATTTTTAAAGTACGACTTGGTTTGTCATTTTTTAACATGGACTGCATCTCCACATTCTGTGATCTCATTCCACCAATCCCGTCATGCGCAATGACTATATAGTTTATATAAGGCAACGCATTCCCTGCCTTATCACTAAAATACTGTTTAGACTTAGTTTAAACTTTCAACTTTGGCACATGAATAATTAATTAAAGCTTTCCCTGACCAATGGTTTAATAGTTTTTGCACACGGCAAACTCTTATGAATGAAACTCTGAGGTAGTACTACGATACAGTTATGCAAGTGGCTGTGAATGGTTGCCAATGACAACGTGTTGCACACGGTAAATTCTGATCATTTATAATATGGATTCTACCGGGTTGTTAAAGCTCAAATTAAAACATTCCAGTTTAAATGTCTTTAAATGCATTCTGAAACACAAGTTATCAATTATTTTGATGTAAATAGTGATAATAAATTAATATTTCCTAAGTATCGTCAACTTCCGCCATTAAAAAGGGGGGCGTGGCCAACCCCATGGCGAAATTAGGTTGAGCGAGCTGCATAACCTGCTGCGAACGCGTAGAAACATGGCGTCTCTCGTAAGACACTTATCCAAATGGAACGGAACTCAAATATATATCGAAAGTACTAATTTAATAATAAATAGACACACACATCGGAAAATTAAAAACTCAGATTTTTTGGCGCCGATTGCGAATTTCCATACACAAAAAGTAGTAGTCCACCTTGACTTACCGAAGTATCTACCAATAGTACCAAAATCCGGAATCCGGGAGAAACCGGAATCCGGATCCGGCGGATTTCGCATAAGAAAATCCGGATCCGGTTGGAAAAAACGGATCCGGCACACCCCTAGCTATCATTAATATATTATATATATTTTTTTTATCATACTCACCTTTTTCATTTTCAAATTTCAGTCCCAAAAGAAGCTCCTTTATTTTCTCTTTTGACCAATTAGTAGCATTCTTTTCTACCCTGAAATGAGTTTTTAAAGTAGGTACTTTGGTCAAAAATTTAAACATTTTGTAAAAATAAACCAATGGCATAGTTGAATAGAGCTTATTTTTTTACACAATTATAATATCAAAATCATATTTTTATCTGTTGTAGTTTTAAAGTTATGAATTTTTAAAGTAAGACTTGGTTTGTCCTTTCTTAACATTGACTGCATCTCCACATTCAGTGACCTCATTTCGCTGATCGCGTCATGCGTAATGACTATACAGTTTATATAAGGCAACACCAAAGCCCTGTTTAGGGTCGACTTATTTTAAAACTTTCAACTTTGGCACATGAATAATTAATTAAAGCTTTTCCTGACCAATGGTTTAATAGTTTTTGCACACGGCAAACTCTTATGAATGAAACTTTGAGATAGAACTACGATATAGCCGCTATGCAAGTGGCTGTGAATGGTTGCCAATGACAACGTGTTGCGCATGGAAAATTCTGATCATTTATGATATGGACTCTACCGGGTTTTTAAAGCTCAAATTAAAACATTCCAGTTTAAATGTCTTTAAAAAGCATTCTGAAACACAAGTTAACAAATATTTTGATGTATACAGTGGTAATAATTAAATATTTCCTAAGTATCAGCAACTTCCGCCATTAAAAAGGGAGTGTTGCCCACGCCAATGTTGAAATTAGGCTGAGCGACCTTATGGTGATATGGGTCACTTGGACAAGCGTAACAAACGTAGGACACGACCTAAATCAATGAGAATTGGCACACGTATACTTCAATATCTAATGCTTTACACGATTTAATAATGAAAGACATGTTCCTTTTATTTCACAAAAAATTTTGTAAGCGAAGATGCCTTTTATTTATATATACCGTAACAAAGATTTTCAAAATAAAGGTCCATTGAAAAAAGCAAAATAGCTGGATGGAAATGTAGGCCAAGATGTCTTCCAAATTATAAGGCCGGAAATGGAACTCAAATATGTCGAAAGTACTCATTTAATAATAAATAGACACACACATCGAAAAATTAAAAACTCAAGATTTTTTGGCGCAGATGCCCATTTCCACACTACATTTATATAATTATTAAAAAAACTGAGCCATGGTAGTGGTAGTAATAATTGTGAAAGAGAAGGCTAATACTAATAATTAATAATTATTATGTAATATTCAACAAGAAAAAAGTTACAAAAGGAACTGGATTCATTCTGTACTGTAAAATATTTGGACACTAAACTTCAATAAAAGGATTATGTTGGAATCATCAAAATTTTCACGCCAGTAGTATTAAATTAGCCAAAGGGTAGCCACTTTGATGAAAATTTCAAAACATTTTTACAAATATAAAAATACTACAGCTGTATAGAGCCTGGAGAATAGATTACAAAAACACCAAGATCCTCTTTCTAGCTCATGTGGTTCAAAAGTTATGAATTTTTTAGTAGGGACCTCAAAACCACTTTTTTAATATGGGATTTTCCTCCACATTTTGTGACCCTCATTTTGCTTTTTTTTTTTAACGCCTATAGATTTATTATAAAATGAGACAAAAATATAATATTTACAGGGAACATAGTTAAATAAGAGTACTTCTAAATAAAGCCACAAAATATATGTTAGTTTTTGTTAATGTGCCGCAAATATTAAAAAAAAAAACTTTATTATTTGCCTATTAAAAATGTATAAAAATGCCGACTCATCACTTATTTGTAATTAATTAATTAAAATTTTGTTTTTAATTTCCTAAAAATCTTAATAATAATAATATTCTTTAGATAGTAATTGCAGATTTTCTGTGGAATTGCTTAGCATTTATAAGCATAAACAAATATTAAAGGGATTATTTGTTTTCTTTATTTAAAATTGACAATTACACTTTTTATTTTACCATTTTCTACATATGTATACTATATATTATATTATTCCTATGAGTATGACAAAACAATCAGCATGTCATTTATTTTAAGTTTGTAATCTTGTTTTACAAATCAACATGTATCATTAGAATCAACTTTGACTTTAGCTGTTAATAAAATAAGTTCTAGTCATTTACTAGAGGTAAATCCAGGTTTTTATGATTGTTCTTTAGTAATACTATCTTAAGTAATTCTTGGATTGTAGTGCCAGAAAGTGGTTTTTTTTCTTTGAGAAACCTAGGATTATATAATAATTCTCTTGTGGAATATTGTGATTAAATATAGGATATTTCAATACCAAAGGTAAGTGAATATTTTAAAATGTTTTACTTAGTTTATGCCTTAAGTAAGAATCATATTTAAAATTGTATTACATATCCTAAAATATAATTAAATATAATTCATTATAATAGGCCCTACAAATTAGTTGGGTTGGGTCTAGGCCTTAACCCTGATATAGTATAATTTGTATTATACTATATGTATACAAGGCCTATAGCCTATAGTCATTATATATATATACAAATAAATATTTATCTATAAATATATAAACTAATATAAATGATAAATATATTAGTTGTAATAAAAACTATTTATCCGAATCCTTAAATCATTTATAATAGTGTAATTACTATTATAATACCTTTACTAAGCCTATCACTATCTAAGTCAAAGACAAGAGCTCATCATTCCCATGTCAGTGTCAGCCAGGTCCATGGCAACCAACCCAAACATTAAAATCACCGATATTCAATAAGCCAATAATAATTATTTATGTTATAAAACATTTTTTATTTATATAAAATTATTTATTATTAGTTATATTTCCCATTTACACTCTGGATAACCAACTTAATGAATTATTAATTACCCCACGGCTGCTTTCGATAATTGGAAATAAGTTAAATAAGCAGACAAGCAAGGTGGCCATGATGATAAATTACATAGCCTTAAAAAATGACATATTGGAAATTCGTTTTTTGAAGCCCACCCATGGTCTACACTCATGAATTTTGGATATGTTGTAAATGAACCTATAAATTATATGAGCGGAGTTTTTTTTTATTATTGAGCGCATTTTAAAAAAAAAGTTATTCTTGAGTGAAGTTGACCAATTTTTAACTTCAATTTTCAAAGCTTTAATCTTGACCCAAAAAATCAACGAAAAATGCGCCGGACATGTAGAGCGCAAGATATACGTCCGGCGGCTTGTCACGTGACCGCCAGACATGGCCGGACGACTAGTAGTTTTTATAATTCCAAACGAAGTACGGTATGGTACAACTTGTGTGGTCTTGTGGTAGAGTGGTTGCTTGACGATAGGAAGGTTTGAGGATCTATACCGGGGATAGGGTCGTTTTTTTTCTACCCATATTAATTAAAAATATTTTGTATATATTTATATTAACATGTTCCTCAGCAACAGTAGTTTCATGAGAAGTTTTTACATATTTTGTAGCAATTGAAATAATTTAAAATGAAATCTTTTACTTTAACTTTTATTGGTTGCCTACGCCTACTCCACACTGGCCCCTAATTTATTTTATGGATTACTGGTACACAAACTCAAATAACAAACTAAACAAAAATGTTTACAAGCCACTTTCACTTAAGTTTTTTTTTCTATTATTTGCATTCAAGATACTCAGTACATTACTTGGTAGAGAAATAGATTTTAAAATTAACAATAGTTTTGAATTATTCGCAGTCACGTGACAAGGCTGACCGACAAGATATCTCTCGCCACTTTGTTACTGCGGTCATGTGACTTGGTCGCGGACACATAGTGCGGGAGATAGACGTCCGGCGCGACACTGCCAAAAATCAAACGCACTCTTTATATAACAGGAAAGATGTCCGCTTTAAGTAATTGTCGGAAGTAAAATTATATTATTATGCTAAAATCGATTATAAAACGCGAAACAATGATACCCTCAGTTAATTAAAAAGTAGAGGTCGCCATTATGACAACGAAAATTCGATAACCGTTTTTCGGGTATTTCCGGTCGACACCGAGGTCCCTACAAAGGGCTAATGCAGAGAATTGGTGCCATTTTTAGACTAAGGGAAACATTTTCATTTATTTAGGGTTCAGGTTAGGTTTAGGGCATTCATTTAGTTTTAGTGACAGTGAATTATAAAAGTTCACGGGGCGTGGCAACCAAGATAGCGGCCGTGTAATAAGTTTTTAATTAAGTTAATGAATTATTTAGCCTAATAATAGTACTAATGACTAATAGTAACTAATCATGTCACAGTTGACTGACGCAGGCATGCTTTTCTAACCCGGCTGAATTGACAAAGAAGTGCTGCTTACCAATGCCAGTTATTTACATTTGTTGCATCTGGGCGATCTTCTACAATCCATCTTGGATCACCTTCTCCCCACTTTGCCATCCTATATTTTCTAACAGTGATCACGTCTGTCTGTTCTGCGTATCACTGTTACTGTAAAAAATTAATAACATACAATTAGAGAAAGTACGGGACTATTCTGGAATAGATCACATACAAACATTGGCCCGGAAGTGGCATGTTGCTAACAACGACATCTCCCGGTGAAGATTACTCTTAAAATAAAGAACATGTTCCTATAAAACTCCATACGTATTTTATACTTAGTAAACGGGATCGGGATTCGAAACGGGATCCCATCAGTTGGATCACGATCCCGGGAGGATTACGATCCCGGTGGGATCCCGATCCTTGTTGTTTGCGATCCCGTCGCTATCCCGTTTCCCGTTGTGATACCGATTGTATCACAATCTCTATGTGATCCCATTTCCCGGTGCGATCCCGATGAAATCGCGACACCGGTGGGATCCCGATACCGGTGTGTTCCAGTTTCCCAGTGAGTGGGATCCTATTGCAAACAAGTGATTTAAAAATTAATAATGCCAAGCCAATAATTTATTCAGCGAAACAAAAGGCTTTATAGAAAAACGAGGACGTCTTCCAAAAAGAAAAGCAGATGACAGTACTGAACCTGCTGCAGTGGCGTAGCTAGGGATTTGGGGGTCCGGGGGCGTGGCCTCTTTAGTGGCCCCTGCATTTTGACATTCGACATTATTTAATGTAAAAAAAAAATTGTACATGCCTTTGGGGGCCCCCCTCAAGTAGGGGTTCCGGGGGACTTTCAAATTTGGACCCCCCTCCCCTTCCTCTAGCTACGCCACTGACCTGCTGTTGTTTTTAAAGGCATGGACAAGCTTAAGAATGAAACTTTTTATGACAAAGTTGATGGCGTCGTCGCTGATTTAGGCAAAAAGAGTACAAGCCTTATCTGAAATTGATCACGGTTGTTCATTTTTATTTTTTTTTAAAAATCCCCAGCACCACGGGTGGATGGGACTCGTTAGCCCAACTCAACTAAGAGAAAGGAAACTCTGAATTCAAACCAGGAGCCAGAATGATCAATACATTGATCATGGGCCCTCAAAATATAGAAGAAGAAGAATATCTAAAGCAATATAAATAATTTGTGGAATTTTATTCAGCTGATGACATAACGAAATTTAAAACGAATGGCGTACTTTTTAAAAACAACTTCCATCACCTAAAACAGCTAAAGCAGTTACTCCAAAAGATGCTCAATACAATTAACCAAAATAATCGACCAGATTGTTTTCAAAATGTTTGTATTACAGTGTCTATATAGTTTCTACTTAAGTTTTTTATCATGTTTGCACCAGGCCACGACGTACTAGAACTAGTGGGCCATGGCTAAGGCCTTGTACTCTAGTGGGTTATTACCAGGCCTCCCAAAGTTTATTCGGCTCTGTAGCCATGTATTTAAGAAACAACAACTAACCAACGCAGAAAAAACATACACTAATAATGAATTATCAAACACAAAACACTACCCTAATTTAAATAAGCATAGGCGAATCCTAAGGAGTTTTCGAGGGTTACCGAAAATTTGATTGAAAGAAATTTCATCGACGGTAATTTGATCGAACGGAAATTTGGTCGAATCTTTTTTTAGTTTTTACGTTGATATGTTCGTCAAATTTCTTTTTGAACGCACTATGCTATAAAGTAAAACGGAATAATGCTATCAAAAAGAAATTTGAAGCAAAAATTTATCGTAAAAACTGAAGAAAAAAAAAGTTCTGCCAAATTTCCGTTTGAACAAATTACCGTCGATCAATTTACCGTAGACGAAATTTCTTACGATCAAATTTCCGGATACGATTTTCGGGGACTGCGTTTTTATTTGATGACGGGCTACGTGAGGCCTAGCAGTAGGCCTACAGCCTTCAGTACAGTCTCTATACTCCTACGGGTCGACCTCTAAAAACAGAGGTTCTTAATATTTTTGCAGCGCAAAACCTCCTATTTATTTCAAAAGTCCATCTCTATGTCAAAACATATTCCCCGCACTCCCACGATGATATAAATGCAAATTAACCTGGTTTTCTGGGTCTTCCTGCACTACCTCCCGCATTCCGGATTGAGAACCCTGGCTCTAAATAAAAGTTATAATGGGAAAGAACTCTAAATGAAAAAGAATACACTACACACAAAAAAAACAAGAAGATTGTTTTATTCATGCACTTTGCAGGGTCTCTTAGTCTAAATTAATATTTTAAGAATAAGAATAGTAAGATACAACGAAACTAATATAAAATTAATTAATTAATTCTTACACTCCCACTTCAGTCTATTAGATTGACACTTAGGGTAACCGACAATTAGTATTTTAGTATTAAGTGTTAGTACTGTATATAATATATATTTTTAATTAATAAGTTAAGTTATAGTATACAGTAAAGTCTAGTTAGGACCAACAATGCAAAAAAATGACATGATTATGATAATGTAAAACGCTCATGATACTGATACTGTAACTGTTTAAGTTTAGTATGCCTACTGACTGTTTAGTTTGTGTTTACCAAGTGTTTAGATTACATAAAATTACAATTTACGTTTACTTACAAAGACTATTTCAGACATGACATAGCCGATGACATAGGCATAGGCTAGTATTAGGGGAAATACAAACTTAACTACTACTTAATCTCTTAAACAGCTGGTAGTCAGTGGCGTAGGAAGGAGGTGCGGAGGGGGGCTCCTGATGACCTTTTTTAAAACTTTATATTGTATATAATATGGGGGTGGGGGGAGTCATTTTTGGCCAACTGCAGATTTTTGTCGTGCAAGTGGGGCAGCAAAATTCTAGACCCGCCCCGGCTGACACTAATAACCCTAGCTATGCCACTGGTAGTCATATTATATTAGTATTACATTTACAGTACACTAGAAACAGTTTTTTTTTAAAAGCTAGTGATAATCAGCAATATGCTTAAATATTAAACTGAAATTTTAAAATACAAATTAATGAAATATATATCTTTACTTCATAATTAGTACAAGACTGAGGGACCACTAGAGAGATTGTAAAGACAAAAGCCATAGGTGAAGGGCACGCTATTTTAATTATAAATAATCACATGATTGGTCTATTGACGAGTGAGTGTCCAGTCCAAAAAATTTTCTCCTTAGGCCTTAGCCTTTGCCTTAGAAAGAGATATAAACATTTTATTTACAATTATTATGTAGCATAAGTTTCAAATCTGGAATTACAGTCGTCTCTCGTTTATCGCGATTAATGAGTTCCAGAATCCACAGCGATTGTTGAATTTCCACGAAGTAGGATTCTTTATTTATAAATAGAGTATTTTTGTATTAGAGCAGAGAAAACCTATTCACGACTTTCTAAAAACAGTTTTTAACACTATTAGACCCTCTATGGCTGTTCCAATACATAGCCAAACAGTCCTTATGTACAGAAATTTTAATTGTAATACAAGGGTGTATAATTGACTCAGATAACCAAGCGTGCTGTATCATTCGCACTATCTAGATAAATTTTTAATGAATACTTGTTATATTTGAAAAAAAACCCCGCAATTGAGTGAAGCCCCGATAATCGAAGCGCAAAGTTACGAGGGACAAGTGTATACTTAAATTATAGCAAGTTTAATCTAATATAAATTATGTGTATAGCTCCTTTGAACAATTTATTTTTTTGGTTGCAGCTCCTAAGAGTGATCTAACTGGCCAATTCTAATAAAGAATATGACATCAAGCAGGCACTAATTCACTGGATAAAACTGAAACATATAAAGGGACAAGATTTATTTTAAAAAATCAACAAGGATAAATTAACGCCAGAATGAGCAACTTCATGGTCTGTCTTGAAAGTCTTAAGAGATAGAAGAGGTTTTAATAAAATTCATGAATGGATTTGCTTGCAGTTTGCCTAAATGTAAAGAAACCTTTTAAAATTATATTTGTTACTGAAATTTGTCTCAGTAATCTCTACAATCAACCGAAGTATTTTATATTTTCTAGCCTTAATAAGTTTTAAAAACTTAACAGAATTCTCAACATACTCTTTTATTATGGCTGGTCATATGAGTACGCAAGTTTGGAACTGGTCTGCACTGTGTCGACATGGCGAGGATATGTTATCATGGGATGGCAAAGATTTCGGTCATTGCTTTGAACAAGTTGCTATTCTATTTCCTAGCCATGCTGTGCTAGCCATCATCAGTGTTTATCACTTTGGTAGAAGGCAAACAGTTATGAGAGGGAACAGTCTCTATGTTCGGTGGACATGGTTTCTAATTCTTCGCATGCTGGCAGTCATGATATTAATAACAAGTCCAGTTTTACAAATAATTTTTTCTGTATCCCTGGAACATATGCTTCCAAGTATTGCTGATGGGGTTGTTGCTGGGATCTCCCTTCTTTCATGGTCCCTTCATGCCATGTTTGTGTGGAACCTGCGCTATCTGCATGAGAACAGTTTGCGGGGTCCCCTGAGTGCTGTCATTGCCTTCATGATAGTTTTGGCTTCATGTGCTATTCATGTACACACTGCCATTGCCAGGCATATTTCTCAGTCCCCAAACAGCAGTAAGACAGAAGAAGTAGCCACATACGTCAATGCCTCAGCAAGTCTAATTTATTTAATGAGTCTTATGCCAAATCATCCTCGTATTTATCAAACAAATCTACATCTACAAATAAATGATGAAGACGGCTCATCTGAACCACTAACTTGGGACAGAATCAGGTCCTATGGTGCTGTGAACAGATCTAGAGAGGTGGAAGAATATATAGCTGAAAAAGGTGTTGGTTGCTTCTCATGGTTAACATTTTACTGGGTACAGCCACTGATGTCTCGAGGAGCAATAATGAACATCTCCAGTGTTAATGATTTGTTTTTACTGCCTGATCGCATCAATACTCAGAACATTGATTCAAAATTTAAACAAGTTCTGTTTGATTTGCATTATCAGTCAAACCTTAAAAATTCCCTCTACCACGAAGATGAGAATGACATAAGTAGACGACTCTACGATGATTTGCCAAGTGTTCGTGTAAGATCTGAGAATCAGATTTCCAACTCTCCTCTTCCATCCTATGAAAACTATCAGAGTTATCAGAACATGAGTGGCACATCTGATTCATCTCCAGAAGACCATACTAGGGCTGACAAAGAAAGACAGGTTCTAAACAATTCAACAGGAGGCCAAATCAAACTGTTTAAAGCTCTTAACAAGACCTTTGGAAAAGAATATTATTCTTTAGGGGTCCTCAAGCTGGTGGCTGACAGCCTAGGGTTTGCTGGGCCGGTGTTGCTAAACTACTTAGTGAGCTTCATAGAGGCCAAATCAGATCACAGCTATAAAGGATATCTCTTTGCACTTGGCCTCTTTCTGACAACATTTCTAGGGACCCTTTGCTCCACACAGTTCGACTACAATGTCCAGGTAGTTGCTTACAAGATGAGATCTGCCCTGGTGACCACCATCTACAGAAAGTCTTTACTGGTCAGTGGCGTAGCACAGTCCAGGTTCAGTTCAGGAGAAATCGTTAACTTTATGAGTACAGATACAGACAGAATACTTAACTACTGTCCTAGTTTTCATGCATTTTGGAGCTTACCTTTTCAGGTAACTAGTGATTAGTGATGTGAACTAGATTTTAGGGGCGTGAAGGTTTTGTATGGAAAGTTGTGGATCGTGAGAGGTTTTTTAATTGTGTGTTTGGATCAGAGAGTATTTGTGTAGCTGTTGCTATATGCTGGGTTTTTGTGACCTATTTGGGTAAGGGGAGAGACGTTGTGAATGTTGTTATCGTTTGTGATAATAGCAGTGATGGAGTGTTAGATTTTCGGAAATATATATTTAATAAAGAAATGTTTGTTCTATAAAACATTGGTTTGTTATGTAACTAAATTACCCAAGACAACGAAGGTATTGAACAGGCAGTTTCCGGTTCATAACAATGAGAATGCTCTTTGTATCAAATTGAGAGAGTTGAAATAATAAACCACCCTTGATACATATTTGACCAAGTAGGCACATTTTCAAATCAATTTTATGTGATTGAGAAATCCAAGAATTACAAAGACGGACAATGAAAATCCAAGGATGCCGCATACATTTTATTGTTCTATTTTGGCATTCTTCTATTTGGCAGGTTTCTGTTTCCCTCCTACTTTTATATCAGCAAGTTGGCCTGGCCTTCCTTGCAGGTGTTGCTTTTGCTTTACTCTTGATTCCTATAAATAGATGGATAGCAGGGAAAATAGGACAGCTCAGCACTGAGATGATGGCACACAAAGATGACAGGGTCAAGGTCAGTTGTTTTCATCGTTTTAATATATGTTAACTTCTCATTTGGCAATTACATGGGTTATGTAGCAATACTATAGTGGTAATGTAGTCATACTTTGTGGGTGATTTAGATATACTTTATAGAAAGCCATATGGGTAATAAAATATTAATGGGGTAGTGTAGTAAATACTTTACAGGGTAATATACAATGCCATAAGGGTAATGTAGTAATACTATGGGGGTAATCTGTGTTGACAAATTAGCTAACTCTTTGACCATCGCTGCCACAAGTTAAAGAGTCTATTTGTAAAAGCGTCAAATTGATTTATTATGCGTAACATTTGTTAATATTTGTTTCTCTAAACAAGTTTCCTGATTGATTGTTGCAGCTGATGAATGAACTGTTGTTTGGCATACGTGTGGTGAAGCTCTACTCTTGGGAAAAGCATTTCACTGCACTTATCACTGACATTCGAAACAATGAGCTGCGCTGTTTGAAGGGCAGGAAGTACTTGGATGCCATGTGTGTCTTCTTCTGGGCGACAGCTCCCGTTCTCATGTCTATTCTAACATTTACGACCTTTGTACTGTTGGGCCACCAACTCACTGCAGCCAAGGTCATCATTTTATCTTAGTGTGTGTCTCAGAGCTGACATTAACAATAATTATCTATGATGGCATAGCATAAATAATCAGTTTTTAATCCCAGTCCATGTGTGTTGCCATGTTTGTTGCTGTGTTTGTTGCCATGTGTGTTGCCATGTGTGTTGCCATGTGTGTTGCCCTGTGTGTTGGTTGCCATATGTTTTGCCTTGTGTTGCAATGTCTGTTGCCATATGTGTGTCCATCAGTTATAATTCTTGTAAAAATATCTCCATTATCAGCAACTGGTGAAGACACCTTATTTGGGTAATGTTAATGAATCTGGTTTTAAAAGGGGAATCATTTTATAAAATATTAGATTCACTTACATAGGAATATGGCTGTTAATGAATACAACATGGGAATGCCATGTTTTAACAGATGAATTATGACAGTCTTATAGACTATATTTGGAGAGTTTGAAAGGAATCTCTTACATTTCAGGTGTTCACAAGTCTGTCCCTGTTTTTAATGCTGATCAGTCCATTGAATTCTTTCCCCTGGGTTATAAATGGTCTTGTGGAAGCATGGGTTTCTCTAAAGCGAGTCGAGAAGTTTGTTTGTCTGCCAGACAGTGATGCCCAACAGTATTATTCATCAAGTGATGGTATGTGTTTTGTCTTTTGTGCACTTATCTTTCAGTAAAAAAAAATAAATTATTTTTTCAATGACTTATTTAAAAAAAATTATACATTTTCTTTGTTCCCATTTAACGTCTCTTACAATACATTGTAAAAATAGGTAATTAAAGAGTTGATTATAAACTGAATTATCCCTTTCAGGAGCAGATAATGAACCTGTCATTGATATAAATAATGCAAGTTTTACCTGGATGAGCCCTGAGAGAACTGCTTGTGCTACAAATAGAGCAGCAGTGTTTGAGAGTTCACCACAAGAACCATGCATCATGAAGACGCAAGATCTAGAGGGAATTCATCTTAAAATATTTCAGGTCACTTCTTGGTTTATCTTTTTAACTCAATGTTATTATATTGTGTCCCTGAAAATAAGGGTGTGTCATAAAATGGTTGAGTCTAGATTAAATCAGTTATGTACCATTCATTAATCAGGCTTAAAATATTGAAATCTTTAAGCTGAGATATCACTGTTTTTAACTGACTCAGAGTAATATGGAGAGCTGCATTTAAACTTCAGCTTAGCAAGATCCAGCTTCTTCTTTGATTGTCAATTGGCCAGTTAGGCATGCAAACCTTCCTTTATAATAAGTCATCACGAGTTACAGTCATGATAGTGTTTTTTTTGGTTGTTTTTTTTACATGTAGCTTATTATGTCACACATATTTTTCTAATTTTCTAATTAAAATATTATTTAACAGGGGCAGTACATTGGGATAGTCGGTAAAGTCGGATCAGGAAAAAGTTCTCTGTTCAGTGCCATCATCGGAGAGATGAGGAAGAAACAGGGGGAAATAACTGTGCATGACTTAGATGAGGGGTTTGCCTACGTCGGTCAGGAATCCTGGATCCAGCATGCCACTATACGTGATAACATACTATTTGGGCGTCCTTACGTGTGTCAGAAATATGACAGTGTGCTGGAGGCCTGTGCTCTCGTTGATGATTTGAAGGTTTGCTCAAAATTTCGGTCCAAAATAAATCTTATCAGTGTCATAAAATGATGTATTCGACTTTTAATTATCCATCCTAAATAGTTATGTATAGTGGCTACCTAAAAATAGTTTGCAGATATCCCTTCCTCATGGTGGCTAAAGAAATAAAAGTGGTAATTAATAGAAAAAAAATTGCAAATAGAAGGCTGACGTGTTTGGGATTTAAAGAAATAAAAAAAATGATTTAAATGAAAAATTTGTTTCTTGCAGTTACGTTGTTTCTTATTATGAAATATTTCTCATGTCCTTGAAACATTACTTGAAATCAAGGTGTTTACTTAATAATTAAAATGAAACATTATTCTTTTAATCTCTTTATTTAATAATTACAGTATTTATTGGCGTATAACACGCACTTTTTCTCCCTGAAAATAGGGAGGAAATGATGTGTGCATGTTATACGCCAATATAATGTTAAGGACCCATAGTACATACCGCAAAGCGGCGCGAATGGTGCATATTATACGGCTGTGCGTGTTATACACCAATAAATGCGGTAAATGTGCACATTGTATTATTCTTTTAATCTCTTTATTCAGTAGTCAAATTGGTACATTGTATTATTCTTTTAATCTCTTTACTTAATAGTTAAATTGGCACATTGTATTATTCTTTTAATCTTTTTACTTTATCGTCAAATAGGCACATTGTATTATTCTTTTAATCTCTTGCCGTAGGTGATGCCAGCAGGGGATATGACAGAAGTGGGAGAGAACGGAATCACACTGAGTGGGGGTCAACGTGCGAGGGTCGCTCTGGCAAGAGCTGTCTATCAGGTCGGTCCAGACATTTTTTGACCTACGTAATGGAGTTTTTGATTGATTTATTCAAAACAATTTCGTTAAAGTTTTCTTGTTCAGATTATTGATTTAAATGTGGCTCCCGTATCTAATGGTAGCTGCATCACAGCAAAGAGGTTGTGGGTATGAGTTTATTAGGTTGGGTTAGTGGCCAGGTAGAATAGCCCTCTTGGACACAGTCTGACGGCTATACTTGGGTTTAGGAGACACAAACAATTGGTGGGAATAAAACAATTTACGTTATGCTTTAATTAGGATAACTCAAAATACAAATTCAAACGTTTCGGCAAATGGCTTCTTCAGTACGACCAAAAAAAAAAATATTATAATAAATTAAATTTACATAATCTATATGTTTATTCTAAAAATGAAAGAAAAGAATAAGAATGGGCGCAAGTCGCTAATGAAAACAAAGGCCATCTTATCATGCCAGAACCCAGAGCACAGAATAGTTATTGCATACGTAACTATCACATAGTTATTGCATACGTAACTATCACATAGTTATTGCATACGTAACTATCACATAGTTATTGCATACGTAACTATCACATAGTTATTGCATAAGTAACTATCACATAGTTATTGCATGAGCAAGTAATCGTTGATTAATGTCCTAATACATTCATCTCTGCTTGGTGGTCTTGTCAATCTTGTGGTAATGGAAACACCAGACGCACAAGTGGATTTGGTTTTAATTCTAAAGAGATAGTTGCCATAAATTCTACTTTTTTAATTTTGTTTTTCTAATTCATCTTTAAAGATATTTTATCATATGATAATTGTGTTCATAAATTGTTACAGTTGTATATTTGCCTCATCTATATCAACAGCTAATATGATCATTATACTCGTTATGCTCATTCATTATTGTGTAGTGTTTGAAAATATGTTGTCTGTTGAACCGGCTTATTATTGTTTTAACCTTTACAAGATATGGCGCCTTAAAACAATGTATCCCACCTGGCACTCCTCAAGGTTTAATTGGCAGAAATAGTTTATAAAAAAGCACTCTATTCAAAGAAGGTTGCCGACCCCTGACTTGAAAAATCATTTGGCACAACACTGTAAGTGAGGCCTGCTGTGAGTAGATATTTCGATGTGTAAATAATGGTCCAGGTGGCCAGGATATCACCTGCAAAGTGGCCCAAATGGCCCAGATATCACAGAACGACCCGGATTTTTCCAGATGGACCTGTCAACCATGGCAGCCATTCTTGGGGAGGAGTAAAAAAAACTCAACTGCTGAAGTTGTGAGACGGCTGCCAGCTTGGCATGGGATTAAAAAGTTGGCTGTCTGTGCTATGCCAACTTAAAATAATAGGTGTTTTATGAAGGTAAACATAATTTTATTAATAAAAAAAAAAGATTTTGTTTCTCAGTATTTTAATCTAGATTTATTAAAGTACAGACATTGTTATTGCATTAGGACAAGGCCGTGTATTTGCTTGATGATCCACCTTTGTCTTGCATTAGGACAAGGCCATGTATTTGCTTGATGATCCACATTTTTCTTGCATTAGGACAAGGCCATGTATTTGCTTGATGATCCACATTTTTCTTGCATTAGGACAAGGCCATGTATTTGCTTAATGATCCACATTTTTCTTGCATTAGGACAAGGCCGTGTATTTGCTTGATGATCCACTTTCAGCCGTAGATGCTCATGTGGCCAAACACATCTACACAAACTGCATCATGGGATTGTTGCGGGGCAAGACACGCCTGCTATGTACACACCACGTCAAGTTCCTCAATCGGGCCGACTATGTTATTCTTATGGAAGCTGGGAGAATAGTACATTCAGGTAGAGTTGTTAGAATAGTGCTGTCAGGTAGAGTTGTGAGAATAGTACAGTGAGCTAGAGTTGAAAGACTAGTAAATGGCAGGTAGAGTTGTGAGAATAGTACAGTGAGCTAGAGTTGGAAGACTAGTAAATGGCAGGTAGAGTTGTGAGAATAGTACAGTGAGCTAGAGTTGGAAGACTAGTAAATGGCAGGTAGAGTTGTGAGAATAGTACAGTGAGCTAGAGTTGGAAGACTAGTAAATGGCAGGTAGAGTTGTGAGAATAGTACAGTGAGCTAGAGTTGGACGACTAGTAAATGGCTGGTAGAATACATCAATAATATCAAAATGTATACATTTGATATCTTCAGGAAGAAAAAAAAATTCTAATCTATTTGTTGTGATAAACGGTAGCCTATCCAACAAACTTACTGTATTTAATACTCTTAGGTCCACCATCAGAAGTTCTCACTGATGTTCAGTTCACAGATGAACAAAATAAATCTTCTGAGAGTGTAACAAGTGGACAAGAGAGTTCACAAGATGAAAAGGGAAATAACCTTGTCCAGGAGGAAGATCAAGAAAAAGGGGCTGTAAAAGGTTTTGTGTACAAGACATACTGGAGAGCTGTTGGATCATGCTTGTCTCCCCTGGTTCTTGTCACCTTATTTTTAATGCAAGGTTCATATATTTATTATTCAATTAAGGATGGTTTAAAAAAATTAATAAAACCTGTAGTTCATGCTGCAATCTTTTTGTATCTTGATATTACAAACGTAAACTTTCCAAAATTTGAAAATCTATCACATTCCTTATATCTTAAGCAACAAATGAAACTTTCTTTGGTTGCAAAATAAATTATACATAAAATAAAAACCTGTTTCCTGTGCTTCCATCAGCATCCAGGAATGGAGGAGATTGGTGGTTGTCCTACTGGGTCTCTCACAGCCCTACAGCACCTGGGAATCAGACCTATTATATACGGGAAATGACAGGAAGGTAGAGTCTTCTCGTCTGAAACTAATCCAGGAACGAGCCTTGTTATAATGTAGTTATTTCCAAGAGCTGTTCCTAAGCTCTATTAACAATGTTGAGGAAAGTTTAGCTGAGAGATGTAGTTATTTCTGTGCTGTTTGAATATTCTGTTCCTACAATTAAATGCTGTTAAAATTTAGAATTAAAAAAGTAAGTTATTCATGTAGAGCTGTCTACCTCCTTAAAAATCTCTTTAGGGCAAAAAAAGGACTTAAAATATAACCCGGATAAAGTGATAGGTCCACTACAAGACTTGATCTTATCACATTGCATGTACCAATGTTCTTCCTCTTCTATATATTAAGGGCCCATGATCAATGTATTGATCATTTTGGCTCCTATGCATGTAGAGGGGATTTGCAATGTTTTTGTGCCTGGTGTTGATGATATTTCACTGATTGCAAGTGCTACTTTGTGAGGGAATCATGCACGGGGGGTTAGAAGGCTTGAGGCAATAGACGCAAATGTGTCAAGTGTTGTCGCCTCAACTGTTCCTTTTGAAAGCTTGTTCAAGTCCCTGATTGTCTTGGGCAGGAATGAGCAGTTTCTATACTGGCTTCTCGCTGGTATGAGCCAAAATTGCCTGTCATGGCCTTGCCGCTGTCATGGGGGAGAGGGACGAGTTTCTGTTTAAGCTGGAGCAGTGGACCAGCCCTTTATCTTGTACACCATGGAGAGCCTGGATTGTTGTCGTCGTTCCTCCAGTAGAGATCAGCCCAGTGTTTCCAGCATGCTGCCAAAACTAGAGGTGTTCCTGTAGCAGTTCAGGACCAAGCGTGCTGCCCGTCGCTGGACCGTCTCCAACCTGTCGATGCTTTTCTGTGTAAATGGGTCCCAGACTGAAGATGCATAATCTAAAACCGGACGGACAAAGGCTTTATAGGCTCTTTCTTTCACACTGGAGTTGCCGATCTTTAGATTACGCCTTAAAAACCTCAGGATCTTGTTTGTCTGGTTGACCACATTGCTAATATGCTCCTCTCAATAGACCTCTCTTTGAATGGTAACACCCAGGTACCATCTGGAAGAAAATGACTCAAGTATATGGCCGTGCAGTTCGTATTGGTAGTGTAGAGGAGTACCATTCCTAGAGACTGACAGTGTCTGGCATTTGGCAGGATGAAATTCCATGTTTCAGCTCATCTCCCACTCAGCTAACCGGTTGAGATCCTGTTGTAGCTGGTCCTGTTTGTGATCGACCTAGAAACCTCCAAGTCATCTGCCAACAGTCTTGCTTGGGATGTCAGTTTCTCGGGTAGGTCATTGATGTATGCTAGGAACAAACAAGGGCCTAGCACTGATCCCTGGGGGACCCCTGACTTAACACCTACAAAAGAGGAGCTTGTACCGTCCACCACTACTGCTTGTATCGGTTGCTGAGGAAGCTAGAGATCCATGTTTTAGTAGTGCCTTGAATCCCATATCTCTGAAGTTTGTGTAGAAGCAAACTATGATTGGCACGGTCAAATGCCTGTGAGAAGTCCATCACCAGCACGTCAGTTTGCTTGCTGTTCTCCAGATTGGTCATCAAGGCTTCTACAAATTCAAAGAGCTGGATCTCACATGATCTATTGACTCGGAAGCCATGTTGACAGTCATTGAGTATATTTTGGCTTTCAAGATGATTCATGACTGCGCTTACAATTATGTGCTCCAACAGTTTGCATACCACGCTGTTGCGGGATATCTGACAACAGTTTGCAGGATCGGAATGCTCCCCTTTCTTGTAGATTGGAGTGACATGCGCTGTTCTCCAGTCTGCTGGAACATTTCCTGTGCACAGTGACGATTGGAAGAGGATTGTCAGTGCAGGAGCGATTTCTTTGGCTAATTCTTTGAGCACTCATGGTTTGACGTTGTCAGGACCACATGCTTTGTAGGGGTTAATGGTTTTGAGGAGGGCAAGCCCACCCTGCCCTGCAATCTGGATATCTTCCATGAAGGGGTAGGCTCTGTTCATCATGTTGGTCATCAGCCCCCGAGTACTCTCTACCATCACCAAAGTCTAGAACTGCTGATTGAGTATGTCAGCCTGTGCTTTTGGGTCAGATGTCAAATGGCCATCCCGCCTCGGGGGGAAACTCCAGCGTTTGAGGACTTTTGGTGCTTCACATAGCTCCAGAAGCGCTTGTTCTTGACACCCTTGGTCAAAGTGTCTTCCTCTGAGAAGGTGCTGTTCATGTAGTTCCAGTAAGATCTGCGCAGTAAGCGTTGGATGGTTCTCCTCTCTCAGTTCAACCGAGCCATTTTTCTTCAATCGCTTGTATTGGTGGTCTCTCCTGTAGATGAGCCTACAGATTTCAGCCGTGACCCATGGCTGATTTATCTTAGGTTTTCATGAGTTCTTGAAGTGCTGTTAGCACATTATGTTTTATGCTGTGGGTGCTCAGTAAATTAAAATTATGAACCATAAGTTAAAACATTTTTGTCTAAAGAATTGGTTTGACTAAAGAATTGGTTTGACTGAAGAATTGGTTTGACTGAAGAATTGGTTTGACTAAAGAATTGGTTTGACTAAAGAATTGGTTTGACTGAAGAATTGGTTTAAGAATTGGTTTATCTAAAGAATTGGTTTGACTAATGAATTGGTTTGACTAAAGAGTTGGTTTGACTAAAGAATTGGTTTGACTGAAGAATTGGTTTAAGAATTGGTTTATCTAAAGAATTGGTTTGACTAATGAATTGGTTTGACTAAAGAATTGGTTTGACTGAAGAATTGGTTTAAGAATTGGTTTATCTAAAGAATTGGTTTGACTAATGAATTGGTTTGACTAAAGAGTTGGTTTGACTAAAGAATTGGTTTGACTGAAGAATTGGTTTAAGAATTGGTTTATCTAAAGAATTGGTTTGACTAATGAATTGGTTTGACTAAAGAATTGGTTTGACTGAAGAATTGGTTTAAGAATTGGTTTATCTAAAGAATTGGTTTGACTAATGAATTGGTTTGACTAAAGAGTTGGTTTGACTAAAGAATTGGTTTAAGAATTGGTTTATCTAAAGAATTGGTTTGACTAATGAATTGGTTTGACTAAAGAGTTGGTTTGACTAAAGAATTGGTTTGACTGAAGAATTGGTTTAAGAATTGGTTTATCTAAAGAATTGGTTTGACTAATGAATTGGTTTGACTAAAGAATTGGTTTGACTGAAGAATTGGTTTAAGAATTGGTTTATCTAAAGAATTGGTTTGACTAATGAATTGGTTTGACTAAAGAGTTGGTTTGACTAAAGAGTTGATTTGACTGAAGAATCGGTTTAGGAATTGGTTTGGCTAAAGAATTGGTTTGGCTAAAAAATTGGTTTGGCTAAAGAATTGGTTTGACTAAAGAATTCGTTTTACTAAAGAATTGGTTTGACTGAAGAATTGGTTTAAGAATTGGTTTGGCTAAAGAATTGGTTTGACTAAAGAATTGGTTTGACTAAAGCATTGGTTTGACTGAAGAATTGGTTTAAGAATTGGTTTGGCTAAAGAATTGGTTTGACTAAAGAATTGGTTTGACTAAAGCATTGGTTTGACTGAAGAATTGGTTTAAGAATTGGTTTGACAAAGAATTGGTTTGGCTCTAATTTCAGCGAGTCTCCAGTGAGAAATCAAACAGATGACAAGCTGATGTTTTACTTGGGAGTTTATGGTGGCCTGGCTGGTGCTAACTCATTCTTCACGCTGCTGAGATCCTTCCTGTTTGCTTATGGGGGGCTGTGTGCCGCCCAGGTTATACACAAGCGTCTGCTGATGGCGATCTTAAAGGTAAAGGAAGGCAGTTTTATAGTTCTTTAAGTATTGATGTAGGTAAGAGAGGGAGTCACAAAATTATCTGGTACAATGTTTCACAGTCTCTCTGTCTGAAAGGCAAAGTCTCATGGTATCAGTGTCTAGACATGTTCTACAATGTTTCACAGTCTCATGGTATCAGTGTCTAGACATGTTTTACAATGTTTCACAGTCTTATGGTATCAGTGTCTTGACATGTTCTACAATGTTTCACAGTCTCATGGTATCAGTGTCTTGACATGTTCTACAATATTTCACAGTCTCATGGTATCAGTGTCTTGACATGTTCTACAATGTTTCACAGTCTCATGGTATCAGTGTCTAGACATGCTCTACAATATTTCACAGTCTTATGAAATCAGTGTCTAGACATGTTCTACAATGTTTCACAGTCTCTCTGTCTGAAGGGCACAGTCTCATGGTATCAGTGTCTAAACAGTGTCATGCTCTACAACATCTGGCAAATGTTGATATTTCAATCAAATTAAAGTTAGCTTCAAACTCATTAACAGAGTATTAGATCTAATACAAAATTATACATTTAAAAATTCATTAAAAGAAATTAAGTTTGACCTTTTCGTTCAACTCTTCATGGCTGTAAACTCAACACTATTTTGTTCTTAACATTACCTACAATTTTGGGATCAATCATGTAAAACAAGCTTGGAATACATTTTAAATGTGGATAAGTGATGTGGATAAGTGATGTTGGTAAGTGATGTGGATAAGTGATGTGGATAAGTGATGTTGGTAAGTGATGTGGATAAGTGATGTTGGTAAGTGATGTGGATAAGTGATTTGGATAAGTGATGTGGATAAGTGATTTGGATTAATGATTGATTTGGATAAGTGATTTGGTTAAGTGATGTGGATAAGTGTTGTGGATAAGTGATGTGAATAAGTGATGTGGATAAGTGATGTTGGTAAGTGATGTGGATAAGTGATTTGGATAAGTGATGTGGATAAGTGATGTGGATTAATGATTGATTTGGATAAGTGATTTGGTTAAGTGATGTGAATAAGTGATGTGGATAAGTGATGTGAATAAGTGATGTGGATAAGTGATGTGGTTAAGTGATATGGTTTAGTGATTGATGTGGTTAAGTGATGTGAATAAGTGATGTGGATAAGTGATGTGGTTAAGTGATATGGTTTAGTGATTGATGTGGTTAAGTGATGTGAATAAGTGATGTGGATAAGTGATGTGGTTAAGTGATATGGTTTAGTGATTGATGTGGTTAAGTGATGTGGATAAGTGATGTGGATAAGTGATGTGGTTAAGTGATTTATTTGGTTAAGGGATGTGTATTAGTGATTGATGTGGTTAAGTGATGTGGATTAATGATTGATTTGGTTAAGTGATTTGGATAAGTGACGTGGTTAAGTGATGTGATAAGTGATGTGTTTAAGTGATGGGGATAAGTGATGTGGATAAGTGATGTGGATAAGTAATGTGGTTTAGTGTTGTGGTTAAAGGAACGTGGTCAAGTGATTGCAAAACTATTGCAGGCCCCCTTAACATTTTTTGATGTGACGCCCATAGGAAGGATAGTGAATAGGTTCTCCTCAGATCTGTATGCAGTGGATGATTCCCTCCCCTTCACCTTGAACATCTTCCTAGCACAGAGCTATGGCATCTTTGGCACACTGGTCCTCACGTGTTATGGTCTGCCGTGGTTTGCCATCTGTTTGGTTCCCATGGCCGCAATCTACTACAAGATACAGGTAAATATGCATTAGAAACATATGAAAGATACAGGTAAATATGAATTAGAAACATAAGAAAGATACAGGTAAGTATGCATTAGAAACATATGAAAGATACAGGTAAGTATGGATTAGAAAGATATGGAAGATACAGGTAAATATGCATTAGAAACATATGGAAGATACAGGTAAATATGAATTAGAAACATATGGAAGATACAGGTTAATAAGAATTAGAAACATATGGAAGATACAGGTAAATAAGAATTAGAAGCATATGGAAGATACAGGTAAATATGAATTAGAAACATATGGAAGATACAGGTAAATATGAATTAGAAACATATGGAAGATACAGGTAAATATCCACTTGAAGTAGCTTCACTCAAATAGATGTGTGCCTGCCAGAAAATCATCCCTTAATTTCTTTATAAAGGATTGACAAAAGACATTTACTGAGCCTGCTATTTTGTTTAACTCCAACTGTGTCCAGCTTTGTCATGTTCTCTCCCCTTGATGTCCAGTACTACTACAGATTTTGTCATATTGTTTCCCCTTGATGCTCAGCACTACTACAGATTTTGTCATATTGTTTCCCCTTGATGCTCAGCATTACTACAGATTTTGTCATATTGTTTCCCCTTTATGCTCAGCACTACTACAGATTTTGTCATATTGTTTCCCCTTGATGCTCAGCACTACTACAGATTTTGTCATATTGTTTCCCCTTGATGCTCAGCACTACTACAGATTTTGTCATATTGTTTCCCCTTGATGCTCAGCACTACTACAGATTTTGTCATATTGTTTCCCCTTGATGCTCAGCACTACTACATATTTTGTCATATTGTTTCCCCTTGATGCTCAGCACTACTACAGATTTTGTCATATTGTTTTCCCTTGATGCTCAGCACTACTACAGATTTTGTCATATTGTTTCCCCTTGATGCTCAGCACTACTACAGATTTTGTCATATTGTTTCCCCTTGATGTCCAGCACTATTACAGATTTACATCCAGGGAACTAAAGCGACTGTCTAGTGTGACCCTGTCCCCTATCTACGCTCACTTCTCTGAGACCATCACAGGGCTACCCACCATACGATCCATGAGACATTCTCAAAGGTCAGTCAAGTTTTATACAACTAGAAAGCTCAGTTATTCAACAGCCAGGCACAAGATAGGTCAGTTATACAACAGCCAGGCACAAGATAGGTCAGTTATACAACAGTCAGGCACAAGATAGGTCAGTTATACAACAGCCAGGCACAAGATAGGTCAGTTATACAACAGTCAGGCACAAAATAGGTCAGTTATACAACAGCCAGGCACAAGATAGGTCAGTTATACAACAGTTAGGCACAAGATAGGTCAGTTATACAACAGTCATGTACTTAATAGGTCAGTCATTCAATAGTCATGTACTTGATAGGTCAGTTATTCAACAGTCAAGTACTTGATAGGAGTGTCCAACAGCTATAAAGTATTCTTTTATTTCTAAGCCGCATGTACAACAAGAACACATGTTGACTGTTTCTTATTTTTAAACAATAGACCTACTCTTTGTTAAGTCCTGCACAACTTTCAAGGATACATTCTATCTGTTTGCATTAGTTGAATTTTTCTAATGAAGAGTCTTCATGATAGATCATTGTTTAATTGTTGATACACAATTACTGAATCAGGTTCTGTGAGGAGAACAAACGGAGGCTGGACACAAACCAGAGAGCTCAGTACGCCACACAGCTTTCCTCTTCCTGGCTGGACTTGAGGCTCAGGATGCTGGGTGTGGCCATGGTTACCTGCTTGTCTCTGATTGCGGTCATTCAGCACCAGCTGACCACTGTAGATGCCGGTAATTAGTCTTAGCTTGCACCACAACCTGACCTATCTGATGTGTTTGACCAGTCTATGAAGTAATAATTTATATTGATTTGATGAGTTAAGAGTTAGGAAAAGTTTTGTGTGGTGTGATCTGTTGGATTAGTTGTAAATTTGTTTTACTAGAAGTAAATTTCAATATTTTGGTTATAACATTCTCCTGGACATTGCATGTTCAGCAGATCCAGGAGCCAGAATGAACAATACATTGATCATGGGTCCTCAAAATGTAGAGAAGAAGAGATGCCTTAATAAAAGTACTGAATTCAACTTGTTTATGTCATCATTTAATACTGCATGAAGAACTCGGTGTTGCTACAGCTGATAGTGTATGGTATCCAGTGGTGTCCCTGGTAACCAGGTGGACAACATACTCTCTGTTTCCAAAGTGGATATGTATATGATGTTGGTGGAGATGATCATCTCCCGCGCTGATTTGATGAAATATTTCTGTGTCTCCCGCAGGCCTCGTCGGACTTGCCATTTCCTACTCATTGTCTGTGACAAACCTGCTTGGTGGAGTGGTCATGTTCTTCACGGCCACGGAGAAAGAGTTTGTCAGTGTGGAGAGATGTCAGCATTACATCCAGGAGACGCCATCAGAAAGATGGGAAGGTCCTCTGTTTGTAAGGAGTTTTATAATTATGTTGATTTACTGGTCCTACCCCCATATCTGTCATGAGTGATTGAGGAGATCCCATTAAAAAGATGGCAGGGTCCTCTGTTTGTAAGGAGTTTTATAATTATGTTGATTTACTGGTCCTACCCCCATATCTGTCATGAGTGATCGAGGAGATCCCATTAGAAAGATGGCAGGGTCCTCTGTCTGTAAGGAGTTTTATAATTATGTTGATTTACTGGTCCTACCCCCATAGCTGTCATGAGTGATCGAGGAGATCCCATTAGAAAGATGGCAGGGTCCTCTGTCTGTAAGGAGTTTTATAATTATGTTGATTTACTGGTCCTACCCCCATAGCTGTCATGAGTGATCGAGGAGATCCCATTAGAAAGATGGCAGGGTGCTCTGTCTGTAAGGAGTTTTATATTTCTGTAGATTTACTGGTCCAACCCCCAGTCATGGGTGCTGAAAAAAAACCTTTATGGAAACAGAAGAAAATATTTTGTTATATATTTATTGTATTAAAGATATGTTGTTGTTTTCATAGGAAGTCTGGATTTTTTAAAACTGAAGAACTATGATACTGTTAGTCACACAGTGACTGGTATCTTTTGAAGCTAGGGCCCAAATCATGGAACAGTTTGCCTAAATCATAGAACAGTTTGCCTAAATCTTTGAGGGAAATGGAAATGATTAAAAATCGCTTAAGAATCATTTAAAGACTTTTTTCTAAAATAGATTTTATGACATCAAAGCGTTATACTAGTAATCAATCACCATCACCACCATCATCATCACCACCACCATTACCACCACCACCATCATCACCACCACAATCATCATCATCTCTACCACCACCATCATCATCTTACCATCATCACCACCACCATCATCACCACCATCACCACCACCATCACCACCACCACCACCACCATCATCATTTGAGTCAGCCCCTCTTGACACATGGAATAGATTTGAGACAGTCATGTGATCACTTATAATTTATGTATCGTTTCCAGCCCCCGTCCATGTGGCCGGAAAATGGTGTTGTTGAGTTTGACACCATCTGGCTGCAGTATCGTGACACGCTGACCCATGCGCTCAAGGGAGTCAGTTTTAAAACCAGACCAAGGGAGAAGATTGGAATTGTCGGCAGAACAGGGGCGGGTAAATCTAGTCTGTTTTTGGCCTTATTCAGACTGGTGGAGATCGGTCAAGGTCGTATCTTGGTTGATGATGTCGACATCAGTCATTTGGACTTGCAGGACATAAGGTAATTTACTTGACCATTGAAAGTGAGGTAAAAAAGATCTGTTGTCTCATTTGGGTTTGTTATTGGTTAGTGAGATGGAACTGGTTTATTGGAGAGTGCTTCTAACTCGGTAGTTTGATTGTGGTTCATCCCAGATGGAACTGGTTTATTGGAGAGTGCTTCTAGCTCGGTAGTTTGATTGTGGTTCACTCCGATGGAACTGGTTTATTATAGAGTGCTTCTAGCTTAGTAGTTTGATTGTGGTTCACACCAGATGGAACTGATTTATTGTAGAGTGCTTCTAACTCAGTTGTTTGATTGTGGTTCATCCCAGATGGAACTGGTTTATTGTAGAGTGCTTCTAACTCAGTTTTTTGATTGTGGTTCATCCCAGATGGAACTGGTTTATTGTAAGAGTGCTTCTAACTCGGTAGTTTGATTGTGGTTCACACCACCTGGAACTGGTTTATTGGAGAGTGCTTCTAACTCGGTAGTTTGATTGTGGTTCACACCACCTGGAACTGGTTTATTGGAGAGTGCTTCTAACTCGGTAGTTTGATTGTGGTTCACACCAGCTGGAACTGGTTTATTATAGAGTGCTTCTAGCTCAGTAGTTTGTGGTTCACACCAGCTGGAACTGGTTTATTATAGAGTGCTTCTAACTCAGTAGTTTGATTGTGGTTCACACCAGCTGGAACTGGTTTATTGTAGAGTGCTTCTAACTCAGTAGTTTGTGGTTCACACCAGCTGGAACTGGTTTATTGTAGAGTGCTTCTAACTCAGTTGTTTGATGTGGTTCATCCCAGATGGAGCTGGTTTATTGTAGAGTGCTTCTAGCTTAGCTGTTTGATTGTGATTCACACCACATGGAACTGTTTTATTGTAGAGTGCTTCTAGCTCAGTTGTTTGATTGTGGTTCATCCCAGATGGAACTGGTTTATTGTAAGAGTGCTTCTAGCTTAGTAGTTTGATTGTGGTTCACACCAGATGGAGCTGGTTTATTGTAAGAGTGCTTCTAGCTTAGTAGTTTGATTGTGGTTCACACCAGATGGAGCTGGTTTATTGTAGAGTGCTTCTAGCTTAGTAGTTTGATTGTGGTTCACACCAGATGGAACTGATTTATTGTAGAGTGCTTCTAACTCAGTTGTTTGATTGTGGTTCATCCCAGATGGAACTGGTTTATTGTAGAGTGCTTCTAACTCAGTTGTTTGATTGTGGTTCATCCCAGATGGAACTGGTTTATTGTAGAGTGCTTCTAACTCAGTTGTTTGATGTGGTTCATTCCAGATGGAGCTGGTTTATTGTAGAGTGCTTCTAGCTTAGTTGTTTGATTGTGATTCACACCACATGGAACTGATTTATTGTAGAGTGCTTCTAACTCAGTTGTTTGATTGTGGTTCATCCCAGATGGAACTGGTTTATTGTAGAGTGCTTCTAGCTTAGTAGTTTGATTGTTGTTCATACCACATATTTTTTAAAGTAACATTTTCTGTTTTATACGGCTACATTTTCATTGTTAAGATTTTTAGATCATGTTGGAAAAAAAATTGTTTTGATAGTGATGGTTATATACATAATACAAATATCGATTGTATGTGACACATCTGTACGTGTAATACTGCCTATAGGGAACTATCCCACAGTTTATACATATCATACAGTTAACACAGTATTGTCTCAAACGTGTGAGTTTGTAAAGCTATGTAGTCTTACTGTACACCAACTGATGTGTTCAATGAATGTCCATGTTTCCCCAGGACCAGGTTCGCCATCATTCCCCAAGATCCTTTTCTCTTCAGTGGAACAGTTCGGATGAACCTTGACCCAACAAACAGCTACTCTGACGCTGACGTTTGGTCCGCCATTGGCCGCTGTCACTTACATTCCTGCATAGACCAGATGGGAGGTCTAGGGGCCGTCCTTGCTCAAAAAGGAAGGGAATTTTCTGTGGGGCAGCGACAGCTTCTGTGTCTGGCAAGAGCCATGCTAACAAAGGCAAAGGTAGGTCATGTCCATGGGCGCCCAAGGTCATGTCTGGGTTATTGGATGAAACATTTTAGTTCCTTCAATTTTAATAAAGCATTGCCTGCTACATTGCAAATGTTAACTTTAGAGTCCAATAAACAAAAAGAAGAAAGCAAAAAACAACTTATAAGAATTTCATTTAAAAGACTTTTAAAAAAAAAAAAACAATTGTTAAATTTTTTAAATAAAACAATGCATAAATATTAATAAATGTTTAAAAAAAATTGTCACCAATTGTTGATAGGTTCTTTGTATTGATGAAGCAACTGCAAGCGTTGACATGGAAACTGATAACCTCATACAAACTACTATACGCCATGAGTTTCGAGAGAGCACTGTGCTTACCATAGCACATAGAATCCACACCGTCCTCGACAGCCATCGTGTCCTTGTCCTCAAAGATGGCCGTGTTGCAGAGTTTGCTTCGCCCGGTGACCTGCTTCAGAATACCAACTCCCTCTTTTATAATCTAGTCTATGGAAACAATTGATCCTAATTTGACATTCTGGAACTTTATTCCATTCCATTTGTACATGGTGCATTGGTTGCTGCTGATTATAGAACGATAAATGTAGGACTACTGCGTTCAAGCTGTGTGAAGGAAATAGAAGAACAAAATATGTGGAGGCTTGAAATAGAAAGGACAGTAAAAGAAGAACGTTTCGGCCAAGAGCCTTTCACAGCAGACAGGACAAATGAAGATTTAAGCCTGCACAGAACCTTGTTCTTCTATTTGCTGAATTATATTGTCAATGGCAATGCAAATCTTTTAATAGAACTATATCAACTCATGACCTGACACACAACATAGATGGCTTAACTTATCAGCTCATCTCCTGTCACACAATATATCAACTCATGACCTGACACCACAACAGATCAGCTCATGACCTGACACCACGATTGCGGGAACCACTCTTTGATATTAGTTGGCTTTCAAGATGATAATCTTTCAGACATTCTCAATATTTTAAATTCCCCTTGTTCATAAACAAAAAAAATCATTTTTTAAAGTGTATTTTTACTAGGCTTGATTTAGTACAAAATTTATAACACGTCAGAGAGAGCTTTCAATAGAAATAATACATCTAGATCATGTTACTTTAACAGATGTCATGCTTTTTGACATGTCATTTTTGTCTATTGACATGTCATTTTTGTCTATTGACATATGTCATCTTCTGATCTCTTCTTATTGTCACATCTGCTCAAGAAGATGTCTTGGCTAATGTGATAATGAATAAATTGTATGTGCCATTGAGCCAAGCCTTGATGTAAGTGAAATCATAGTTTAAATGGTGCCATATTACATTTGTGTTAGAATATGTTTGTTGAGTGTATGTGCCAGAAGAGGAGATAACATATATTTATCATAAAAGGTCAATAGTTGAAGTTCAAACAAATTTATGTTCATATGTGGGATTGGCATATTCAGCTGCTTCTATATCCTAATTTTGACTTGATGTTTTTAATCTTATCATATGAAGTTCAGTAATGTTGCATAGAAGAAAACTGTGATACATTCTAAACAATATATACATTATGATACCAGTAGCTGGTACTACCTAAATAAATTGTACTTAAACACTAAATTAAAAATATGTGCAGTTAGAAATGTATGTAGCAATCAAATAATGGAATGTTCCTTTACAGCAGAGGTGGCCAGCCCAAATGGCTTTACTGGCTATTTTGATTGCGAAGTCAACTCTTCAGGGGCAGCATGTCATTACACCTAATAAAGAAAATAAACTCTAAAAAACAATGTTGAAAATTATTTGTTTATTTTGATTGATAGACATAATTCTCAGATGGTAAACACCTACACATGAACACAATAAATTATTGAGATTGAATTGAGAAATTCACAGTATCTATAATAAAATTATGATTCATTCATTTCCCATGTGCATTTAGACCAAGTATGAATTAAAAAAAACAAAAAAAACAACACATTTTTAAAAAATAAATCCTTGATAAAATGTAATATAGAGAAATTTGGGTGGGACTGAAAATTTGACAAAACATGCTTACAAGTATCACACTTTATAAGAATACCAATCCTGAACTATATTAAAATTCTAATGACCAACCTGCTTTTACACTGCAGCTTTATTTCACAAACAACTTTAGAAAAGCAAAAGAAAATATTACGCACCAAATGCAATTTTGATATTAAAAAAACAGAAAGCTCTCATTTAATGCAGTTATCAAGAATTTTATTTTAAAAACTGATTTTCGGGGGTTGGGTGGAGCTGAAAATTTGAAAGAATGTGATGTCACCAGGAACGAATCTATGTGCTAAATTTCAGTTTGATTGGTTTGACAGGAAGTGGGTCAATTAGCCATCTGAAGATTTTGCCAGACAGCCAACGAAAGCAAAGTTAATATAAAGGATTTAAATTTTTTTTATTGGTAATGCTAGTTACATCTGACAACAGATCGGCTTCAAAATGTATTGACCTTGGGCCCATTTGGTCATTCCCGCTTTACAATTATAAAGTAGATCTGATCTGGTTGATGAAATACAAATGTACGACATTTAATTACATCAATTACACTGTCATAACTGCTTGGCTTATTTTACTGCACAAAAAATAGTTTTGGTAGCAATTTAAGCCATATCAATGTATTTCGTATTATAGTTATGTAGGCTACTTGAAATATCTTCTACTGTTGTCGTTTGTTCTTTTATGCTTTGTAATTTGCTTGTATTTAATATGTGATCAATGATTGCTTTGACAAAGTCTTGTTTTTTACTTGTTTCCTTAAAATGAATTAGATTAATAATAGTTATCTACAGTTTATAAATTATTGTTGATTACTGTTATACAGAGCTTGTTTACATAATTTTTCTCGTGCGTGCCCTATGATTGACCCCGCATGAGACGCTGTGTTCACAGAGGGGTGTGGCTTAGTCCTTTGATCTATTCATGTTTATGCCGCCAACCACTAAAAATAATTAATCTGTTCCAAATAGTATTTTGTAGAATGAATGTGATTGTTCTAGAAATGCCATGTAGCTTATCGAAGGCAGGGCTTAGGCGTCGGTAGACCCACCTATATAAGGGATTGACAGGCACGGACGAGGGAACGGAGATTCAGATAGATTTTATTAACTTTACGAGGCTTGTTTTATTCTTTGTGAATTTTTGTGCTCATATGTGTTTATTTCACATTATTTATTGGCACATTATTCTAACTGTATTAACTGTGTACCGGTACAAGATCTACCATACTGTAAGTTGAAGATTGTAATTATATTTTCTTTTGTTTTATAATTATCTTAAGACATAATAAATCTTATTAATTGTAACTAGAAACTGTTTTGGGTAGTATCTTTAATATTGTTGATTCTATGGTATCGTCCTTTGTTAGGCACTGTTAACAACGAGCCAATTAAAATTAAAATAGGAGATTAATTTCTCCAAATACAAGTCAGTGCGTAACATTACATAGATAAGTTTATGACATTTTCCCATATTATCTATCCATCTATGGACGTGGCAGTTAAAAATTTTCTATAAATATCTTTATAATATTTTTTTTATAGTCTTTAATAATATTCTTTGAAATTGTGCCAAAATTTGTCTGACATTTGTCAATTTGTCTGATATGTGGCAGTTTGTCTGATATGTGCCAAAATTTGTCTGATTTATGCCATTTTGTCTGAGATGTGCCAAAATTTGTCTGATATATGCCAATTTGTCTGATATGTGCCATTTGTCTGATATGTGGCAATTTGTCTGATATGTGCCTAGTTGTCTAATATGTGCTTAGTTGTCTGATATGTGGCAATTTGTCTGATATGTCTCCTTGTTTGCTAATTTATAACATTACTGTACTGCACCTTCACTTCAATTAATGCCAGTATTGTTGAATGCAGCTATCATTCATTTGGCCTGTCTACATCAGTAATAGTTAGAGGCAGGCCATCAGGTCTGTTTGCACCAGTAATAGTGTAGAGTGGCGGTTCTCAGCCTGTGGGTAGCAAGTCCAATCCCTTTGGGGGTCGAACCACCCTTACACAGGGTGGCCTAAGACCATCTGAAAAAGAACATTTATGAAATAACGAAAATATTTTATGGTTGGGAGTCACCACAACATGAGGAACTGTATTAAAGGGTCGCATTTTAGGAAGGTTGAGAACCACTAGTGTAGAGACAACCCATCAGGCATAAGATTAATTTTTCATATGTTCTGATAATAGTTATTTTGACATAATTGTTAGAAAATTGCTTCAACAAGACATTTTATTTTCTTCTTATTTTAGCTTCTAAAATGTGTATGTTGTTATTTATTGTACAATTCATATAAATGTCAGTACACTTGAATCATATGTGCTAATTTAAAGCCAACTATTTAAACACTGTTTGCCTGTAGCTCTAATGTAGCACTACATCTCCTTTTTATTTAGTTATTTACTGTGCAATATTACATGCCATTTCACTTATATTTCTGTGATGCCGATGTGCAACTGTCTCATTTGGATGTCTGCACAGTGGACACCTTGGTATTTTATTTGGGTTTATTCGGTTAAGGTGTGATTTAATTGGTATGTGTCTTGATGGTTTATTTGTGAATTAATTGTTATGTGTCTCAATGGTTGAGCGCAGCCAACCAATCCAAAGAGGCTCATAGCTACATGTATCAAAACACTGCCTGTGAAAAGCAGACAACATACTGAAGCCTCTTAAGCCAGTCTTTAGCTCTCTACCTGCACCTAATATAATAAATACCTACCCTGCCTTTTTTTTTTTTTTTTAAATTTCTTTTTAAAAATTTAGAAATCAATTTTCAAGTCAATCATTTTTTTTTTTTTTTTTTTTTTTTTTTTTTTTTTTTTTTATTTTATATTTACCTGCCCTGCCTTTTTTTTTTTTTTTTTAAATTTCTTTTTAAAAATTTAGAAATCAATTTTCAAGTCAATCAGTTACAGACAACATATTTGAAGCAAAGCTATTTCCAGTATATATGCCGTATGTAGTAAGAGTTGATGATGTAATAATAGTTCTCTGTATTGGTCTTATTGTTTTGCAACACATTCCCAATACCACATACTGTACCTCATGTCACATCCCTCCACATACTCCACCATTCCACATACCTCATGTCACATCCCTCCACATATCTCACCACTTCACATACATCATGTCATATCCCTCCACATACCTCAACCCTCCACGTACCTCATGTCACATCCCTCCACATACCTCACAACCACTTCACATACCTCGTGACAAATACTTGACCCCCACCCCCCAGGTCCCCTAATCTCATTCTAACTTCCATGGTCTGAAAGCAGGACGCACTGGTTAAGTGAAAGAAAGACGCCCTGGTTAAGTGAAAGCGGGAAGTAATCCCAATTAAAGATATTAACCCCATTACGTCATCCCAGTAACTTGTTTGAGATAAGGTTTTTTGTGTCGGGCACCATGCCTTTATTAATTAAACATTATATTAACAAAGTTTTGGCGTTGATTCACTTCCTTT